TACCTGGCACCTGCGCAATGTCTCTGACGGTGTAACCGTCTACCTGCACCTACTCGGCAGGTGCACACCTGCGCAGATATTCACCTGCGAATGCAGCGCTGGCAGGCCGCCCTGCTGCAGCGCTGGCATGTCGCCCTTCTGCTACGCTGGCAGACCGCTCTGTTTCAGCGTTGGCGAACCGCTCTGATGCAGTGCTGGCAATTCGCCTTGCAGAATGGTTGCTAGGGGTTGCAATGCCATTCCAGAGATATCACTTTGCATGCTCATTCTTGTACTCTAATTCTCAATTTTCAATGTACTTTTCAATTTCCTTAGTGGAAACTCTTGCCAAATCTCTCTGTGAACAGAGCAAGTAGTAAGATCTCTGTTAGAACGCTGCTAGAGCGCTACGATCACCCACACAACTCCGTGCCCTCCTTCGTAGTTCACACCCGTTGTAGGGTGACTCTCCGCACACCACGCCGTGCAAAAACGGCATACTGGACCAGTGCACAACGTCTGTCAGGTCCACAAAGCGTGTGTGCGTGAAATGCACCATAGTCAGCCCATGCTCCACCGTGGTCTCCGCGTCATTCGCGGTAATGCGGTGCGCCGTGTTGTAGGTGAACACAACCGTCTTCCTTCCACGGCTAAGCTGCACCCCATCAACCGTCTGAAAAAACTCGGTAAACACCTGCGCACCGCCAAGCCACGACAGCGCCAGCGCGGAATTAGGGTATCACACAGAAACAGGGTTGAAATGCAGCCACAACATTATACACATGTGCTGTTGGGAGTCCACTCGAAATCTGCCCACATACCTCGGGTGTGAGGCGCCCACTCTTCGTGTAGCGCACAATCACCGCCGGTGCAGGATCCCCGCTGCGCCTAGGTTCGGGGCGCTCGTCATGGCGCAACACCACAAGGGGCACCGTGGTGCAGGTCCCCGTCGCATTGTACAAGAAGCCGACACTTATGATCCGGTCGCACGGGGTTCCGTTCCTCCCCGGTATCTTGGTCTTCGGCAACCGGCTGGGCATAAACGGTATCTCCACAAACAGAAACACATCGTCGGGGAGCACTTTCAGCTTCTGTACGATGTCCTTCAACGGGGGCTTCACCGAGCTCATACTGGCCACCAGCACACCCCGGACAACGTGTGGGACGCTGGAGATGAAATGGTGGACGTCCCCAAAATAATCCACCAAAAACCCAAACCGTACTCTCCACCACCACATGTGCTGCCTTTTAGGCGCTCCACATGTGCAGCAACCACTGAATCGCTCTCCAACTGAACACTGTCCACTAAATGCCAGGTACACAATTGCGCAGTTCCCATTGGCCCAACCTGTCAACCTCTGATGTCGTACACGTCACACAAATGCGCACCTGCCAGTCACACGCACTAGAAATCCGAACATCGAACCATTAGCCCCAGCCACATATACAATTGGATTCCGTAACAAGAGTGTCCCTGCATTTCAGCCACAACACCCAAATCCGCACACCAGTGCCCTGAACCTACAACCGTAATAACCAAATCCGTTACAAGCATTGCCTCAATCCACACACCGGCCGCCAAAATTCTAGTATGACGGTGCATTTTCAAAATCCACACATTCCCACCACACAAGCCCACCAAATCCAAGCACGAGACCTGCGTACTATTCTGTTGCGCACTCTCCTTCCCTTACCCAGGTTCCCATGCACCCCTAAATGCCACAATCCCACAATTCCACCCCTTCTAGGAGTGTAACAAAACCACCTTCCCTCAGTTCCAAACACACAGCCCTACTCCAATTACTCGCAGAGTAGAAACTTGTTAACCAGCAGCAGACGAGGGTTGCTGTACGATGGGCATACGTGGACAACCCTCTGCAGGCTCTTCAGCAACACCACTGCGAACCGGACACTCTCTCGAGCTGGATGCAACTGGGTGCACGTTGTGATGGGACACTGGCCTGCTGCTTCGTAGTACCTCACGTAGGCACACCCAGTCCACTTGCCCTCCGCGTTCAACGCCTTGAAAATACATAGGCATCTAGCAAACCAATCCCCGCCTTCAGGAGCCACGAGTGCCACATCTGAGAACAGGTTCTCTCGCGGGGACGCCTTGACGAACGTCCCCTTCGCCACAAGCACCCCACCCTGCGTACGTGGTATGGCCACTGCTGTGTGTGTCTGCAATAAGGCAAGCACCACGCACAAATCAAAGAGGTCACGGCACAGAAGGAAGCACGTCACAACCCTATATGTACAGTGTCGCCACGAGTCGAACGAATGTTTCCACGGCACAATGGCAAACTGCAACATACCTCTATCGGATGGGTTGACCACTAGCTCATGTACTTCCGGGCGTCCTCCTTTTTGGCGAACGCAAAAAACTGTCGCACAATGTCCTTCTGCCGCTCAGGTGTGCGTGGATCTATTTTAGCAGTCAGCCGTTTCAGCTCTCCCACTTCTGCATAGCAGTTAGCGCAGGGGCGATGAGTGCCCGTCTGCAGCGTGGCTGAGGCCCTACTGTTCTCTGGATAGTCACCAGGGTACCCATAGAGGCAAGGTACCGCCTTGACCACATTGCCGGTGGCGTCTGTCACATAAAAGTACCTCACAGGAGCACTGGATACAGAAAGGGATTTCGAATAGGTAACGGATCACAGGTACGTCACAAGCAACGCGTATACCGCGTGAAGAACCAACACACATGCCGCCAAACGTACCTTGCAGTTTCCCGCATCAGGGGTCCTAGGATGATCTTCAGCGCCTCCTGGAAAACACGGGCCTTCTCTGTCGGACTAGCCCATTCCGGACAGAATGGCAACACTGCCGCAAGAGTGTGCCCCGGCTCAAACCACCTCAATTCCTCCGGAATGTTAATAAGCGATATCAGAACAGGCCACGCATTCCGCCGCCCGTTGCGCGACGCCTGAGTGCTGTCGCTGTACACGATGACCCCGAGAATCAGAGCCTTGTCGTCCTTGATCTCTTTCTGCCACACGCACACACCGAGGTGGTTATTACAGTACCACGCCCCTACATCGGACATGCACTGTTTCAGCCAGGCAACGCACCTGCGCCTCGTGCATCCACGTGCCTGTTTCTGGCCCCTCGAAAACGCGCTTCCCCTTCTCGTTGTACTTCTCCTGTGGCTTCCACACGAAACCCTTCCTCCGCGAAAAAATGCGGACTAGCTTCTTCACAAGCTGCACATCAGAGCATGGCCATAGCAAGCATGCGCGACAATACAAATATAGATAGGCACGTTACACGCCATCTGTCACAACACCTAAGCCGAATAAGGGCGGTACGCAGATGACGACAAGCTCACCAGCTCTGTGTCGCGGAAGTGCAAGAGAAGCTTTTGGGACATTCCTCTGGGCCCGTGCACGACGATATGCTCTGTTTTCCATGGAACCATATCTGGCGGCGCACGCTCTTTCCCCCATCGCTTCACGTCGGCGTAGCTGCGCCACTTGCGTAATTCCTTCAAACTGAACTGAGGGTTACGGAATATGTTAAGCAGTCTGTTGACTTCACGGCGTGATAAGTCCGCGTCACGGAAAAACAGGTACAGCTCCGTGAGCGTGTCGAAGAAGTCGGAGACGTCGCTGGCCTCCGAAGAAGTAGAGCTTTTTGAGTCGCCATCGTCCGCCTCATGATCTGCCTCCGTCGCCTGCGGCGGTGAGCCCTCTGGCGGCAAGTTCGTAGGTATAGGGTTGGTTTTGGCCCGTGGCGTAGCAGGGCTGCGCTGGCGTTTTTGCCCAACACTGTTTAGCGCATCCAGGTAAGCATCAAACATAAGCTGCTCGAGATTTCTCTTCAACGAGTCCCCGCATTTCGTTCTGTCTGAGAGATGAGACTGCAAGTCACGGTCGCTAGGAAATTCCTTACCGCACACTCCGCACTTGTTTCCCGTCATCTCGGACTTGCTACAAACCCTAGTCCGACCACTAGCAATGGTTGAGGTAGTCGGTTTTCATATCGTCCACGGCCGTGCACGGCAACATATGAGGCGTCAGTGCTTCGTACACACTACATGTACGTAAGAATACACTTGGTTGTTAAAATAGCCATGTGAAGATAGACGATATGTGTATAAGACTACGTCGTTGAAGCAAACAAATAGTGTGCAACTCTATACGTAAATTTGGCCACGAAACAATAGCAGAAACTATCAGCCCATTATAAGCGCTATTATATTACAAATCTTCAACGAGACTTTACATGCCGCGTATACGTGCACGTGCTCCCACGTACGCATCCCGTAAACAGGGGCTTTCCCATCCGGCACTGTTTGATCACTGCTACACTGGCCAGGTGGCCCCGTGTCTACACCTTGCCCACAGCGGTGTACTAGCAATTCGTGCGAGGAAGTGCCAATTTCGTACCTTACGTCACGAGCCAGATGTACGCGTTTGTGCATTGTCGTATCACTTTATATCATCATAAGTCGTTGGCCCTACCAACTGGACCACTACTTTATCGACGCTACACTCCATTTCGAATTGAAAATGCCTGATATAAAACAAGTCATACACGCACCCCCGTTATTAGGAGCCTCTCGATGTCGTGCTGGCTACGGAGCAATGACATGCACTCATCCAACTATTCCAGACCATTCTGCGGTGCCCAGCTGTCATCATCTCGGTGACCTGTGCATGATGCGACGAACCTCGAGTAACCCTATCTGGAGATATCGGGGGATGTGACCACTTTTGCTGCCTTCTTGCCACGGGCTATTGCGCTTTCCCAAATTCGTTCGCAGGAAAACCCTAACGGTTTTAGTTTACCGTGGGAACCGTGGCCGGGCCCTAGTACACCTGATTCTGAAATCGCATCCTTCCCCTCATCCCGCGCCAACCATGCCTCCGAAAAACGCGCACACCGGCAGCCAAGAATCGAGCGGCTGCTCCGAGTCCGAGATAAGAGAAGTGCGTGCGACAAGGTCGCGTAAGGGAAAGGCCGCCGGCTCTAACAAAAAAAGGCAACGACGGGCGGTGGAGGATGACAAGGGAAAGACCATGGAAGTCGCTGACGGTGCAGCCAGCACGCCTGCTGAACTCCCTCAGCCCGACGATTTGGTGGCGGCGTTGGAGAAGAATTATTTCAAAGTCGAATATCCCAACGTGGAGCTCAAGAACCATCGCGACGTGGTCAGCACAGTCGACAAGAAGGATCTCGCCTCCATCGCGGACAACACATGGGTGACTGACGGGGCGATAGACTTCCACAACGTGTGAGTAACGGTTTCGCCCGGCTACGTGCACGTTGTTTTTTTTTTTTAACATGATAAATCGCAGCAGGAGGATCTGATGCCCTCCCTTTATGCCAACTATCCAACATGTCCGGCGTGTGTTTCCAGGCTACTAAGCATCCGAGTGCCGAAACTGTCAAACGGGAAGACATGGGCGGCTGTCGATTGCAACAACTTCGCGAACACCACTGAGCACAATACTCCCGTCAATGCTGGAAACGGCCTGCCTCTCCTTGAGCACGACTACCTGGCGGTCCCTGTCTACAGGGGGTAATCATCGAGCTGTTTGAGTAGTTCAGCAACACCCGTGAGTTGCATGCATTCTTCATCGGCCGTACTAAACACTGCCGTTTACTGCCGCTTGCCTCCCTGCAGAGAGCACTACTCATTGGTGATAGTCGTATCACCCCACCGTCTGGTGGATAAGATGGCAAGGAAGGATAGCCCTCCGCTGGAAATGGTGTTGTTCGACAGCTCCAAGGCCCCCATGAGTACACAGAAGGTTTTCAGTGGCGTGAAGCTGTAAGTGTTTGTAGCATAAGCCGTAATATGGTGGTTGTTAACACCGGCGTGGATGTAACCGGGTTCCTCATATGAGACGTGATGCAGGTTGCTGACAACTCTCGCCAAGCAGACGCACCCACATGTGGACATGTCGAATTTTGAACTGCTGCTGAAGGACGTTCCCTGTCATGTCCTCACGGTAAGGGCGGCTGTTCTGGTGTTTTTGGTGTTAGGCAGTTGAGGTTTATAAGGTGAAAAGCGGCTACCCGGTGTGCGGATTCTTTGTGTGCAGGCGAACCACATCCCTAAGCAAGAGAATGGTTTTGACTGCGGAGTCTTCATCTGCCACTACTTGAAAGTTTTGGTCTACTCCGACTTCGCCAACTTGAAGAGTGGCCTGTGGTTCAAAGGGGTCAGCGCGCTGCAGTACCGCCGCAACATGCGCGCTGATATATGCGCACACGCTATGGGGGAGTTGCTCCGGAGGCTAGAGGAAGATGGCGTGGATGTTCCTTCTCAGGAAAGCGGCACCACCACCAACACGACTTTGAAGGAGGGTGCAGAGGACGGACAACACACAGAGCAAAGACGTGTGGTCCTTGAAGCGGAGGTGTGCTCCTTGAAGCGCGAGGTCGGTGCGATGACTGCAGGATTCGCCGCAATTGGGCAGGTGCTTGGGATGTCGAGGGAGGAGCTGATCTCTGCCGGCGAAAACATGCTGCAGAAGCCTGCCTGCGCTGTGCAGGGAGCGGGAGGTAATGATCCGCGCAAGCACGGCCCAACCACTCCTGTACGGCCTTCAGGATACACGAAGCAGCTGAACGACAGCCCTGACGAGGATCTGGTGGGCTCCAACACGAGAGTGTCGCTCGACAGCAAGTTCGCGTCAGCCGTTGGAGCGTACCCCTGCTTCCCGGCACATCTGCCGATCCCCGGGACGGTTCCACACTGGCTGTTGTCGCGCCAGCAGGGAGCTGCGGTTTCACTAGTCCAGCCATCCTATCCTGTTTACGGCATCGCGCAGAGCGGTGCGGGCGCACACCCCGGCTTCACAGCTGTGCCTAAGCAGGAGCCCTTGGCCGGAGGAGAGGATTCTGACGAGGACGGAGAGGGGGAGACCGAGCCAGGAACAAAGCCGACCAAGTACACCGGGGTGTATGTGGAGGCCGATACAGGCAAGTTTGGGGTGAAGGTTGTCGCCAAGGACAAGGACGGAAAGAAGGTAACGAAGAGAGTCGGCGCTTACACCACGATAGAGGAGGCAGCGTATTGCTACGCGGCAGCAGCCCACGTGCTGAGGCCAGGCATGGGCACCAGGAACTCTGTGGCTTTAACACCGGCGGATAGGGCAGCTTTGAAGGGGTGCACTCCTGAAGTCCTAAAAGTCCTGGTGGATGCCCGCATGTGGTGGCGCTGGAGGGTATGGAGGGAGGCGTACGAAGGTGTGATGCGGAAGGCAGCGCGGGCCAAGAAGAATGCAACGCCTGCTAAAAGGGGGAGACCGCGAAAGGAGAGTGGTGCGCAGGGTGGTGGCACGGCAGGAGAGGGTGAAGGAGAGAAGGCTGGAAGTGAGGACACTGAGATCGTTGCCATCGAACCAACCAATGGCAGGGCGCTTGGGAGGCTCCGCAGTGCCGATGCAAAGTCCACGGATGACAAGACAGATGAAGCTGGTCGTGGGAGGCAGAAGGATGGTGCTTGGGATATCAGTGGGAAATGAGAGTGTACCGTGGGATAGAAAAAGGCATCCGTACCCGACTGATGTTTGCATGTGTGTGGAAAGTATGTGAAATCTATCGTGTCTGTACTATTTTGCTAGTAAATGATATCTGGAGTTGAATGTGGAGGTGTTACGAATTTGCATGATAGCAAGTGTACCGAAGACGGAGTAAGCGGAACTGATAGCGAGAGGACGGGTTTTCGGACAAAAGATGACGGGGATCGGTGGCCGATGCGTATTCGCTTACAAAGATGACAGAAATCGTGGAGGTTGTTTCCGAGTGGTTGTCAGAGATTGCCTTTAATTTGATTGGAGGGAACGGTTTTCACAATGGGTGTTTCCGTTGTTGAGCAATGTTCACTGGGTACCGTATACTTTGCTATATCAATCCGAGCACTAAGGAATGCGTACGGTGCACTCAAACACTGTCAACTGGGCACAATGGAGACTTCCCTTGCTTCCGAAGATACTGGCAACTTGGGGCGTGCACGGCGAGTGTCCCAGCCTCCGGCGTACCTGCGCGCGGCATATCAGCTTGCAACTCCTCGTGGGCGCATGGCAAGGGGGACTCGGGGAACTGCTTTGCCTAAGCGTTTGATGTTTACCAGAGCGGGAGGTGGCGGAAAATCTGCTGGTGATGGTAATCACGGGTTTGTTGCGCATGTTGCTCGAATTGTTCCAAAGAACTGAGGCGTTTACAGTCTCGTATGCTTTTGAATCCGTTGGCATTCCCCTTCCTTCCGCAATGGAGCTTTTAAACCCTCGAACTTACATTCTCGTCCGTCTACATTCCCACCACTTCAGAGACTACGGGGGGGGAGACATCTGACGCTTCTCCCGGCAGAGTAGGCAAGCAAGCGGCGGAGAGTGACTCGCCAGATTCGCGTTCCAAGAGCGACGTTGATCCGCGTCTGGCTCTCCGGAATCGAGGCGAGGACGTTGACGGGGGCGACCAGGCACGCATCGAGAGCGACGTCAACGCTTTCGAAGAGGAGGATGACGAGGATGTGGGCGACGCGATGCGCGCGATGTTCGAAACCAACACGAACCGCGAGAACGCTGATGTCCCAACCAATGGAGAGGAGGTGCGCGTTTCTGCGGGAGTATTCAGGAGCCTGCTTAAGTCGCAAGACGAGAGCGCGAAGAAGGTTGCCCGCTTGGAAACCTTGCTTTTGGAGGCACTGGCGAAGTCCGATGGGGGATCTCGTCGCCGCAAAGCAGAGCGGCAGAGGGAGCCGGGACAGGGATGCATGAACCCAAAGCGCCAGCGTCGTGGCGAGGCTGTGGCTGAGGTTGAGGACGATGACGATGAGGTGGACGACGACGACGACTTCGAGGACGTGGCACAGATTCGCACGCGGCGCAAACATATGCGGTCTGCGAAGTCGCCTGTTCTGCAACGCGCACTTGATCTGCTGCCAGCAGACAAGGCTTGGAAGGTGGGTTGTGCTAGCAGACGGGAAACATTACTGTATGGGCGGGCGCAGTCTGCATGGGGATGCCCTTTGGTGGAGCACTGTTCTCATTCAGTGTTTGCGGTGGTTCCTGACTTGTGTGCAGCGACTATGCGAGTTGGTCCGCGTGCAGCTGTTCCTGAAGAAGCCGGCCGCAACCATGACTTTCTATCCGAGCTCTGACGACAAGACTTATGGCGTCTGCGCAGTGCTTGACCGCCTGCCGCATAGCTTCGCGTGTCTCGCGCTGGCAGCGGACAAGTCCCGACGGGCGGACCTTAACAAGACGCTGAGCGAGTGGAAGACAAGGGCTGCAGCACGGGTCCGGGACATTGCGCTCCCGAAGCTTGGATTCTTCCGGGACGAGCGCGACGAGGCAAGCCCGTGGGCAAGGGACAACGCACGGACGCTGGAGCAGATTCGCGAGCGCATTGGGCTCGGAGCGGATGAGAGCGGTAAGCGGTGTTCAGGCGCTTCTACACATTGGTGACGGTTGCGTGCTTGGGTGTAGTCTTTTTACTCGTCCGAGCTGTCGGCGGTGTGCAGATGATCTGGTGTTGAGCAACTGGGCTAACGACCGCGACGGGATGCCATTTGCTTCTGCGGCGTTTGCGGCGTGCGCAAAGGCTGCCTTCATTCCGAAGAAGGCTGCACTGCCGCTCACTTTGAAGGTGTACCACCTTGCGTGGCTAGAGCACGTGGTGAGTGACAATGTTTAAATTTGGTGGTTACTCCTCGCCTGGGCTGTAGGCTTACAATGTGTGCGCGGTGTGAATCTCCTGTCAGGTGTCCGACAGCATCATGTACTGGGAGCAGAGGATGGGCCGTCTCTCTAACTCGGCGGGGGGGAACGGCCACGTGGTGAACGGGCTCAAGGTGCTTGTGAAGGGCTCCGTTTCACAGGCCATCCGTCACTTCAATCCAGAGTACGACGAGGAGAAAGAGGAGTGGATATGGGGACGCCATGGCCTCCGCCTTTCTGCATGTGGGCTTGAGAGCATGAAGCCCAATGCAGGCGCTAGCGGAGGAGACGCCGCCGGGAACGATGTGCAGTCGGTGTCTGTCGGGGGTGTGTAGAGCGGCGGGGAGGGGGAGGACGGGCTGTTGGTGGGCATAGACCTTGCCGTGGTGGGAGGTGATGTTGCTTTTGCGTGCGCTATTGAGATACGTGCGGCTGGTTTGGGGTTTGTAGGTGACTAGGTTTCTCTTGCAGTTTACGGTGTTTGATGCGCGGTAGACGGTTGTGGAAATTGTTCTTGTATGCTTGTTTTGAGTGTGTGTAATGGACATGACGAGGTCAATATCCATCCAGTCAGACATCGGCGGGCAATGCTGGTTGGCTAGGACCAATTGAACCAAATTTTCCGGGGCGCGCGTCATGTGCACCGCAAATGTCGCCGCGTTTGACGGAGTGCTCACGAGAGGGGCAATGGTTTGGGATCCGCCTACTTTGACAGCAACACGTGGATTGCCGTGGTTGGTTCGAACAGTTGACGAGGCCCCATTTGTCGGCACGGTGTTTGTGTGCTTGGCATGGTGGCGTTTGTGGAATGTGTGAAAGTGACGCGTGGCGGTGGAGGGGTGGATCGTTCCCGTCCTCCGTGGACGGCTGGTGTTTGGTGATGCGTGTTGTGCGACACTGGAAGTGTGGTGCAGGCGACCATGTTACGAGCGGTGCGAAACCTCAACGTGGCCCAACTGCCACGCTGGTGGTCGCGGGTGTCGTGCACCAACCCTGTGAGGTCTGAAGGTGGTGATGCGACGCGTAGGGGCTGTGCGAATTGCTGCCGCACGCATTTGCGATCGCCGGTGCGATCTCCCTAAACAGTGGCTGATACGTGGCAGCCTATGAGTTGTTGATGCTACGTAGGGTGTAGAACATGGTCGCGTGCAAGTGGTTGGGCTACGCATGCGAGGTAGCTGCGAGAAGGGGTAACACATAGTACGATGGCGGGTGTTGAGGACACGTGGGACAAGCAGGTGGTGAGATGGCGCGTGGTAGTTCTGTATCAATGGACGTTGTGAGTTGCACGTGGCAGGGGGGTAGTGGTGCGAGGCATACAATGCATGGAGAATGGACGGGCTGGATGTGGTATGCACTACCCTAATCTATGGTACTCGTTTGGCTGGAGGTATTGTAACAGTATTGGCGACTCGCGGAGCTGTTTACACGTGAACGGTGCATAGTTGGTGTGGTGGTGCGTAATCGTGCGGCTGTGGTAGGTTCGGCATGTAGTGGGTGTGTACGCTTACGTGGCAGGTATGGTTGAAATTCAGGTACACGTGGGCACGTGTACGTCGCCGCATGTTTTGGTTACTGGGAGGTATGTGAGGTGGGTGGTTGCGGTGCAACGTTATGGTGACCATCCGAGTAACGTGTGTGGTTACTGTATTCCAGTTGTGAAGTTGCCTGTACACTTGCGTGGCGGATGCGGGAATCTGCAAACATTGTTGCCAGAAAGTGACGGGAAGGTGACGGTTGTAGTTACTGACGCTACCACTGTTGCTGAGTCAAACTTTTTTCTTGCGTGGAAAATGCAACTGCAAAGTTATGAACGCGCCACTTTTAAGTTTTTTTTGGCACTTGCCTTTTCCGCGATGTAGGTAGCACTACTACTCCTATCGAAAGCACTGTGAGGCGAGCTGAGGGTGCACGGAGGTATTAGCACCTTGAGAAGCGTTGATCGGCTGTGCATCGCACGGCGGGAAGACGAATGCAGCAACCCAAAGCACTGCGGCCAGCGCAATCCATGCTCGTCGCTGCGTCAGAGGGTTTGGCGGCGGCATTTGCGGTGTCGACACGATCTCAGGTTCCAAGTTGTAAGTTGTACCATGAATGACTCTTGAGCACTCAAAAGTCACCCCGACACTATCTCAGGATGTTTTGGACCACGAATAGTACCAATAGTTGGAACGTAGGACGCTGGGAAGCAAGTCAGAGTGGGGTGACATCGCGGAAAAGGGAAGTGCGAAAAACAACTACGAACTGGCTTTTCCGTAACTTTCCAGTTGCATTTGCCGCGCAAAAAAAAAGTTTGACTCGGAAACAGTGGTAGCGTCTGTCACTTACGAAGTGACTTTCCCGTCACATTCCCAACACAAACTGTACACTTCGACACAATCGTGAGGTATACAGTAAAGCAACTAGGGGGGTGGAAAACGTCACTCTTGAGCAACCCATGAGAGAGTGTCACGACAACGCCACGTGGCATACGATGTACGCCAGATGAAACTGAAACATGTTGACGTGGCAGTTCCTGTACGCTAATTACAACCGTCGGATCCTTACACTATCAACGCCCCTAAACATGCCATGTGGACCAATCGGGCACGACACAGGGTGCGCGGTTTCGCATTTCATTGGCTGGCGATTTTATGGTTCCGGTTGACGAATCTCCTACATTGGTGTGCGTTTTTGGTAGCAATTGAAATGTTATATATTTTTACAAGTTCATCTGACAGGGCATACAAATTATACCAGTATAAGAACGTACAAGTTACCCATATTACACTACACATAATGCACAGCTAAGAAGCCCAGCAGACTCTGCGAGGTAGAAAACAAATGTAACATAGAAGAACAAAGGAAATGGAAATTTCATAAACAAGCAAAACTATATGCTCACCTTGTGGGTTCTTACGACTTGTGTATGCTGCAATGCAGAAAAATAAAAATACTGCACTCCTGGTTGACGGTAAACCTGTAAAACCAGGCACGCTTTGCAACACATGCAAACAAAGCGTGCTGTTACGTATCCTGCAGACATTGCTGCAGAGGGGTTAGTAATAGCAGATTTTGCTTGACACCAGTAATACATACCTTTAAGACAGTCAATTGCGGCGGGACTAAAAACCACGACTGTGGTGCGATTGCTGTCCAGAATAAGCGTGATAAAAGGAACGAGCTGAAAACGAAGCAATCGAGGAGTTAACGTGAAATGGGGCTGCACAGAGGAGCAATGCGTTAAACCGAAGCGACACGGAAACAGGAAGCGGCAAAACTGCGAGCAAGACATATATAGTTGTATGTCGCACCAGAAAAAAACGTGTACCTTAACAAATGGAAACTGCACAATGAAATAAAATAAAGACAGTTTCACGTGCAAGATCTGAACTGTAAACGTACCTGGCCTGTCGTGCAGCAATGTCTGTCCTTTGCGCGACACTCATGTACCCCAGCAGCGCGACGTAAATAGATGAACGGAGCTGCCGTCTGAAAAAGGGGAGGGATGTGAAGAACGGACAGAGATGCGTATGGACGATTTAGAAAAACAACTAAACAACAAAAAAACGATACTATGTTCGCGCAAGGCAACATAGTCTCGACATTCTCAAACACATTCTGGCTGTGGGCTTGAAGGAACGAGGAGTGCGGAGATTACGAAATTAGTTGCTGAAGTTGAAGAGACTTGAAGTACGAAGTGTGTGTTCTGTGTGCTTAGGTAATAAGTGCGTGAATGCTGGGAGTCTGTGTGGTCTGCAACGGGGTGGAAAGATGACGTGGGGGAACGGATCTTTGAGGTGGGCGTTTGATTTGGTTTGGATAGGCTGGGCGTGCTGACGTGTTGAAAATGGCAGGTATGGTTTGACAGTGATTGGTTAAAAATGATATTTGGGCTCACACGTCACACCTCTGAAGAACCATCTAGCGTCTGTGCCTTTGTTTGGGTGGTTGGAGTTCAGATCTGAGAAAAAAACGAAAACAATGTATCCAGTTCTGAAACCTCGCTTGGTTTCGTGTAGATTCGTAGGGTCGTTTTGTTTCGTTAATTATGTGGTTACATCCCACTGTCATTTGTTACTCTGCATTACCGCTTGTAAACTCTCTCGAACGCGCGAAACCGATTGACGCGAAAATGTTGACGGGAATGCAACTTTCGGGTGACGGTTTTGTGTCCGTGAAAACATCCGGTACTGGTGTACGGAATGTCGCGTTTCGCGAGCGTTGTTTTTTGGACACTTTGCGCAACGCAGACGCAGGCTTTTCGTAGAAAAACCTTCGGACCCCCAAATTCGACATTTTCATTTTCCTTTCTCGGAGAAAGTGGGTTGCCTCATCAACTAAATGCAGCGGCTTCCAGTAGTACTCAGTAGTACCCTGCTACTACTGATGCATGGGAAGGTTGTCTCGGAGAAGGAGGGGAGGAAGAGGGGAGGGAGGGGGGAGGGGGAAGGGGGGAGGAGGGGAGGAGGGGGAATGGGGGAGGAGAGGGGGCTTCGCTGCACGCGCAACTCGCCTTTTTCGCACAAATGTGCCTTCAGAAAAGGTTACCTTGGGGTAACCTCGAAAACACCCCAGCAGATCCAGCCTGCGATGGCGCTCAGCCTGAACCGCGCGTGTAAGAGTCATCATGCCTCCCCATGTTTAGGGTTGAGGCTCCCTCGGATGGCATGCCATCCGATGGGGGTTTAGTTTTTTTCTGCCCGGGGCAGCATGTCGTCAAGTCGTCAGAGGGTCGTCAGGCTTGACGACCCATTTCGGCTGAGATATTCCAACCGCTAGTCTGTAAAGTCATTACATGTCTTGCCCATGCATTGATGGAGACTGGAGATTCGGGTCAAGGTGTGCAGCTACACTTCAGCGACTGCACGTTTCAGCCCAGTACGCAGCTTGTTTCTGTACTATATATTCATATACCAGTATAGGGTGTAAAAACCGCACTTACTTTCTCATCCTTATTATTTCTCTGCACCTCAAAGTTTTCCATGTCCCTTCTATCCCGGGCCGTAATGTCTAGTGTTACAATTTTTCATGAGGCTTAGTTATTTCTCACCCGATGTTGGTTGCGGGTATGGTATTATTGACGGCAGAAGTGTTGAATAGTGACACATGTCGGAGTGAATGTAAAATTACCATAGATGAGCTTCCATTCTTCCATGCAGTTCTGAATACCGCTAAGCGAGAAAAACAGGGCCGTTATTTGGCTGTTTTTTCTACCAGCTAGCATAAGTTCTTGAATGCAAAGCATGGTATCCAGTTTTGTCAAACAACACGTGTCGTATCTAAGGGACGTCAACCCACATTCTCCACCAAGGCCATACATATCACAGCTGAAAGAATTAAGCACAACAAACGAAGCCGCCATGCAACTCTGAGAAATTGTGAATATTTGTGGGGTCTCAGTGACATCAGCAGGGGGGAGATGGTGACGTGTGCAGAGGTTTGCAGAGCAGTGGTGAGCGGTCATGAGGCGTTATGAAGTGTGAGAATGACGCCACTTGTCGCACTCGGGTCAGAAGGATTTCACTATTGCTGCTGCTGCTGCTGCTGCTGCTATTGCTGCTGTTGCTGTTGTTGATGCTGCTGCTGCTTCCGCCTCAGAAGCATTTGCTGATGCTGTTGAAACCGCTGCTGCATCTGCAGCTGCTGAAGCCGAATCAGCGAATTCACACGAGTGTCTGTCTGCTCCTCTTCCCCCAACTGCTGCTGCTGCTGCTGCTGCAAGCGATGCTGCTGCTCCTGCTGCTGTTCCTGCTGCTGCATCAGGTGCTGCTGCGCTTGTTGATCCTGCTGTCTCCCTTGCTCACGCGCTTCCTGTTGTTCCAGCCCTCCTTCCCCTCCCTCCCCCAACATGCGAATCCCACCGTCCTCACCACTGCCCCTACCATCATCACCGCCAATAACCATACCAAAACCAGCACCAGCAGCAGCACCAGCAGCAGCACCAGCAGCAGCATTGCCGTTAGCACCAACACAACTATCACCAGTGCCAGCAGCAGCAGCTGCATCAGCAGCATTGGTAGCAGCAGCAACAGCAGCAGCAGGGGTAGAATCAGGAGAAACTCTAGCCTCAGTTGAACCTTCCCCAGTACCACCTACACCAGGCAAACCACCAGTCACAGCACCAGTCACAGCCGCGGCTGCCCGCGCCCTCTCCACAGCTGCCCGCAAAGCTGCCCGAATAACTTCCACTGTAGGCTCCTTCCTGCCTTTCTTCCTCCAATCTGTCCCACTTTTCTCCCTCTCCCTCTCCCTCTCCCTGCTACCGCTGCTGCCACCCTTTTCCACCCCTCCCAACCCTCCCGAATTGAGTGGGCTGCTACCACCAGGAGGGGCAGAATGGGAAGAAGAGGAGGGGAGTGGGGAGAGAGAGGAGGGGCGGGAGGAGTGTGGAGGCTCGCCGGTTTCAGGGGGAGGGTCTCTGGAGAGAAGCATCTGATGGGTGACTCGGTTGCTGCAAGAGGCCGTTTCCAGTGCCCGGACGTGAAGACGAAGGACCTGACGAAGGCAGAGACAGACACCGGGGGGGAAAGGGGAGGAAAGGGGAGGGAAGGGTGTAGAGGCTCGTCGGTTTCAGGGGGAGGAGGGGGAGTCTCTGGAGAGGAACATATGGTGGGTGAATCGGTTGCTGCAGGAAGCTGTTTCCAGTGCCCGGACATGCAGGCGAAGTACCTGAGGTAAAAGAAGGGGTACAGGGGAGCAGGGGATGAATGGGGAGCATCACGTGTGTGGCTCGGTGCTGCAGGAGGGTGTTTCCAGTGCTCAGACATGTAAGCGAAGGACCTGTGGCATGGGCAGATACCAATATCGAGGAGCAGTGAATTGAGGGGGAGCATCTGGTTAGTGAGGCTCAGTTGCGACAGGAGGCCATTTCAAGTGCTCGCACATGCAGGCGAAGCACCTGAGAGGAAACAGGGAGAGGTAGATACCGATTTGTTGAAAACGAGCGGGTGAGACGGGGGTTTGAGACAAAGGGGTGAGACGGGGATTCGAGACGTTTCAAAAGAGAAGAGGGAGGGAGATGGGAGGGGGTAAGGGAGGTGGGTCGAATGTGATCTGTCACACTCACATCAATCGCCTTTTTGAGTGAAGCCAGCAGGTCTGGATGGTCTTCACACGATACCACAAACCGAGATGAGGCAGTTTGATCACCAGAGTCACCACCACCAGAGTCACACACACCCACCTCACAGTCACACTCACATCAATCGCCTTCTTGAGTGAAGCCAGCAGGTCCGGATGATCCTCACATGATACCACAAACCGAGTCACAGAACAGGTGGTTTGACAACCACCTACCATAGGTCACAAACACGCACCCTCGTCGCAGTCACACGTAATCTGTCACACTCACATCAATCGCTTTCTTGAGGGATGCCAGCAGGTCCGGATGGTCTTCACACGATACCACAAACCGAATCAGCTCCTCTCCCTCTCCCCCCTCTCCCCTTCCACTCTCGCCCCCTCCCCTCGTCCCTTCCCCCCCTCCTCCGCAACCCCCCTCTTCCCCGCACTCCTCCTTCCTCCTCTTCCTCCCCCCGCCCTCCTCCCCACCCACACAGCCTCCCCCTCTCTTTCCCCCACCATTCATCCGCCCCCCGCCACTCCCCTGCCCACGCCCTTCCGCCCCTCCCCCCTCTTCCCTTCCTTCCCCCCTCGTCCCCCTCCTCCCCCTCCTCCCCCTTCCCCCCCTTCCACCCCACCGCCCTCCCTTCCCCCGTCCTCCCCCACCGTTCCCACCACCTCCTCCACTTCTAAAACATCCACATCCCTCGGTACCGCTCCAAACCCCTTCCCCCGCATTCCCCACCCTGCTCCCCCCTCCCCTTCCCCCTCCGCCTCCCCCTCTGCCCCCCTCTCCGCGTGCAGCGCCTGTAACACATCTACCACCTCTCCTAGCAGTGTCGCCTTGTCCGTCTGAACGGCGGAAATGGAAAAAGGGGGTGAGGGAAGGGAAGGGACAGTTAAGGAGTGCGGGCATCCCTCTCTCTCTCTCCCTCTCCGCGTGCAGTGCCCGCAACACGTCCACCACCTCGCCCAGTAGTGTTGCCTTGTCCGTCTGGAGAGGGGGAAGCGGGGAGAAGGGGGATGCAGGGATGGTGGGTGGTGGGAAACACTTCTCTCCGCATGCAGTCTCGAGGAGTGCGGGCATCTCTCTCTCCCTCCGCATGCAGCGCTCGCAGCACGTCCACCACCTCGCCCAGTAGGGTTGCCTTGTCCGTCTGAAGGGGAGTATGGGGAAAGAGGGAGGAGGTTGGGGAGAGAGGGCAGAACAGAGTGAATTAGGAAAAGTGCCCTTCACACACCTCCCTCTCCGCCGCGTGCAGCGCCCGCAGCACGTCCACCACCTCTCCCAAAAGTGTTGCCTTGTCCGTCTGAAAGGTGGAAACACGGGAGAAGGAAAGCGGGAGTTGGGGAGTGCGTGAGGGCATCCCTGCCACCCTCTCCGCAGGCAGAGCCCGCAGCACGCCCACCACCTCTACTCCGCCTCTCCCCCTCTCCCCCTCTCCGCCTCTCCGACTCCCCCCTCTCCGCCCCTCCGCCTCTCCCCCTCTCCGCCTCTCCGCCTCTCCGCCTCTCCCCCTCTCCCACTCTCCCCCTCTCCGCCTCTCTGCCTCAACCATTCAGTGGGCCCAATCGAGGCGGCGCCTCAAAAGCCATACCTGCTAGATGATAAAAGAAGTGTTTCGAGACATCTCAACAAGCCTTTCCCCCTCTACCCCTCTCCCCCTCTTCCCCTCTCCCCCTCTCCGCCTCTCTGCCTCAACCATTCAGTGAGCTCAATCGAGGCGGCGCCTCAAAAGCCGTACCTTGCTAGAACTAGGGAGCAGCGCGCGCAGCGTCGCGAGGTGCTGGTTGATGCGTTCCCTGCGCCGCCGTTCCTTCTACCCTCTCCCCTTCTACCTTCTACCCTCTCCGCCTCACCTTGCTAGAATTAGGGAGCAGCGCGCGCAGCGTCGCAAGGTGCTGGCTGATGCGTCCCCTGCGCCTCTCCTCCGCCTCTCCCCTTCGTCCCTCTCTCTCACTACCCTCTCCGCCTCTCCCCTTCTTCCCTCTCCTCCGCTACCCTCTCCGTCACTCACCTTGCTGGAGCTGGGCAGCAGCGCGCGCAGCGTGGCGAGGTGTTGGTTGATGCGCTCCCTGCGCCGCCGCTCCGCCTCGCTGTGCGAGCGCGACTGCGCCTGCGCCTTCCTTCGCCTCCATCTCCGCCTTTCCATTTCCCCACTTCCCACATCTGGTAACCCCTCCTCACCTTGCTGGAGCTGCGCCAGCGCCTTCGCCTCCAAACCGCCTCTCCGTCTCCCCTCTCCCCACATCCCGTAGCCCCTCACCTTGCTAGAGCTGCGCCTGCGCCTTCGCCTCTCCGCCTCTCCGTCTCCCCTCTTCACACACCGGTAATTTCTCACCTTGCTAGAGCTGCGCTAGCGCCTTCGCCTCTCCGCCTCTCCGTCTCCCCTCTTCACACACCAGTAATCCCTCACCTTGCTGGAGCTGCGCCTGCGCCTTCGCCGCCATCTCACCTTGCTGGAGCTGGGCAGCAGAGCGCGTAGCGTTGCCAAATGCTGGTTGATGCGCTCCCTGCGCCTCCTTTCCGCCTCGCTGTGCGAGCGCGACTGCGCCAGCGCCTTCGCCTCCATCTCCGCCATCGACGCGCGCGCCGCCTCCCCGCCCCCGCCCCCGCCGAAAAACGCGGAGATGTCGACTGAAGACCCCGGGGGGAAGGGGAAGGGAGGGGTGGGGACCGGCGGGGAGGGTGCAGCAGCGAGGGGAGGATAGGGGAAGGGAGTGACGGGGAAGATGGGAAGGGCATGAGCACGCGAGGAAAGCAGAAACTAGAAACGGCCAACACGCATGCGAGCGTGACTGCGCCAGCGCGTTCGCCTCCATCTCCGCCATCGACGCGCGCGCCGCCTCCCCGCCCCCGCCCCCGCCGAAAAACGCGGAGATGTCGACTGAAGACCCGGGGGAAAGGGGAAGGGAGGGGTGGGGACCGGCGGGGGAGGGGGGGAGAGCGGCGAGGGGAGGATAGTGGAAGGGAGCGACGGGGAAGATGGGACGGGGAATGGGCATGAGGCACGTGAGGAAAGCAGAAACTAGAAACGGCCAACACGCATGAAAATGCGCGCGCGACTGCGCCAGCGCCTTCGCCTCCATCTCCGCCATGACGGAAGGGGAAGAGGTGAAACTGGAGGGAAGGGGAGGAGGAGGAAGGTGGTGAGGCTGTGCGCGCGCGACTGCGCCAGCGCCTTCGCCTCCATGTCCGACGTCGACGCGCGCGCCGCCCCCGCCCCCGCCGAAAAACGCGGAGATAAGAGGACTTTTAAGGCGTCTAGACATTTTTTAGGCGCCTCAAAAATCGTTTAACGGCAAAGGACTTTCAAGGCGCCTCAATACTTGTATTTCCGTGCAACTAAATAGTAAATGAAACTGCTAACATGTAAGCAGCTACATTATAAATCTGGACTGCCAGCGTGAAACTATAGCGAGAAATCACTCGGCTGGCAAATTGGACCCGAAGGTGAATCTTTGCGAAGGTTAGACTTCGCGAAGGTTACAAGGTTAGACTTCGCGAAAGCTACGACGCGCTTTCACATACCTCCCGGGCAGATTTTCTTAAACAGTTTTACTTCGCCTTACCACACAAACGCTACAACTCACTCCTCGCTAAATCGGCAATACTACTCGCACCTACCTTCTAGAAAAGCTCTCGGCGTACCTCCGGCATCGGCAACTCCTGGGCCTTATCGCACAAAACTAGCGCGTCACTCTCGCGTACCTCCTGGGAAGCCCCCCGCCAGTTGCGCTCCCCCCAGCATCGCCGCCTGCTGCCCCGCCAGCTCCTGCAGCAGGAGGAAATCCGCCTGCTGCTGCGCCGCTGCTTCCCCGCCCATTCGGAAATCCGCCTGCTGCTGCGCCGCCGCGCTTCCGCCCATCAGAAACTCCGCCTGCTGCAGCTGCGCCGCTGCTCCCCCCCCGCCCATACGGAAATCCGCCTGCTGCGCCGCCGCCCCCCCAGCCAGGAGAAACTCCGCCTGCTGCTGCGCCCCTCCGACATCAAATCTTCCCCCGCCCCCGCGCAGCTGTGCAGCTGCGCCCATTCCTCCCCGCGCGCCCGACAGACCTCCCCCTGCCCCTGCCACTGCCCCTGCCCCTGCGCCTGCGCTGAGCCCGCTACGACGAGCAGTAGCGCCGTTAACGAGCGCGCTCCTCGCCGCGGCTGTACCGGCGGTAGCCGCCGCCGCCGCCGCCACCGCGGCGCCAGCAGCAGTGGTGCTCGCAACGGGACTCTCGCTGCTCCTGAGTGGAATCTTCCCCGAAGCTACCGCTGCAGCTAGACTCGCGTCGTCCATGCCCAATAAATTGTTGACACGTGCACCTGCCGCGCCAGCCATTAGGTTCGGGCCCAAACCTGCAGCCAGGTTCGGCACCAAACCTAATCCATTCGACCGGAGAAGATCAACACGGACGGACCTACCAGAGCCCGAGCCAGCTGCTCCTAACCCTAAAGAGTTATGTACATCAGGTGCTGCTGACGTGGCAAGAGCTTCTTCTACGGGCGAACCGGACAACGAGCGACGGATTCCTCCCGCAAAGGACGCCGCGCGTTGCTGCTGCTGCTGTTGCTGCTGCTGGTGCTGCTGCTGCTGTTGCTGCTGCTGCTGCTGCTGTTGAATCTGGTTGTGTTGCTGATCGAACGCCGCTAGAGCCGCCATCGGATCGTTCATGCTCGCGCAGAGAAACGCGAGCGACTGCGAGTCCGTGCCTCCAGCCCACGACATGGTGTAACTATCGCAAACGAAATGACTTCGCCTATTGACGTCGTCGAGTTCCGATAATCTCCAACACCCGGAAAAAACGCAGCCGAGTAGGGAGCTGACAGGAAGGAGATGACAGGAAGGCTCACATAGGTCCCTACGGGCTCACTGAAAGCGTCGACACGCGTACGCGGTAATACGGTTAAGAGTCTAGGCAGCTACGCGATTATTATGCAGAACAAAAAATAGAAGGAAACCGAGAACCGTGTAACTAGTAGCAGGAGAAGCGAGATTTCACCGAGCGCGTAGACGCAGTGCGTACAGAGGGCAGAGCATCAAAACGGTAGTACACACGGTGATACACCGACATCGCCTAGAATCTGACACTACCTAGAAACCGAGGCCAGAGCACTAGGGACATGTCTCTACCAATCACTGTACTGCTGTGGAGGATTTACGCGTTTGATTGAATGCATGACGCACATAAAGATTACAGTACACGCACAGGACTGTACTATGGAAGTTGACACTCACGTTCCCGCAGCAGCCCCTTCGCGGATGTAACGACAGACGAAGCTGGTTGTACAGTGAACGTACGTACGCACATGGAAGGGAAACGGTGACTACGGACAGAGAGACTGACAGCTGTGCAGGCGAGCTGCATAAACCGATTCTGCGCGCTGAATTGATTCTGGGCGTGGTGTGGAAATGGAATGGGAGGGGACGGGATGGGATGGGATGGGATGGGATGGGATGGGATGAGATGGGATGGGATGTGATGGAACAGGTAGAGTCTAGGCGGAATCAAGTTGTGGGAGAGAGGGGGTGTGGAAGGGAGGAGAGGTGTGGCGTGGCGACTGGATTGTTGGGGGGGAGAATCGGATGGTGCCGGTGGGTGGGGTGGGTGGTTGGGTTGGGGGAAGAGGCAAGTGAGGGGGACGGGAGAAAATCCCACAGGCAAATCCGGAGGACGAGCGCCCGGACCCTTTCATCATCCCGACAAATGAGTCACGTGACGAATCGTGACGTGGCTCTGCAGAGAACCTTGGAGGTTGATTTGATACGCGACTGGCTCAAATGGCTCAGCGGTCTGTACCGTACCCAAACTTGCACCCAACACCCGCACTCCCTCCAAAACCCCATCACCACCGCAACCCCCTTTCCCCTTTCACCCTCCATTTGCCAAGATCTTTTGCAGCGACTAAGAGACCAAATCTAGATTCTTGGGCAGGAAGAAGCTGGTCTGGTTTGGTTTGGTTGGATTAGATAGGGAAACCTGACCCACGATATTTACCGCGTGAGAGCTGCAATCAGCAGTTTCCGAAATCGTTTCCGTCTGTTTTACAGGCTCAAACCTGCCCTGCGGTTGCCGCGGCTAGCTGTGTAGTGAAAAAACAATAGCGTCAGAGTGATATAAACTTCTACATTGTTCTTGCTGAGATAACCCGCCCTTAAGGTTGGAGAGAATATGGGTGACTACTCCTATCAGCTTGTGTTTCAAAAAGGGAGAGGAGTGAAGATTCGGCAGTAAATGCAGCAAAACGGCAAGCAGCACCAGAAAATGATCTGATTACACTAGTTGCATATTAGAGACCCACATAAGAGCCTACTTTTTGGCCGTATAACTTTTTGAGAATTTCGCATAGGTTTTCCAATGCCGCAGCTTGAAGTTGCAGAAGGGAGGCCAGGGGCGAAAAGCAGCGCAAGGGAGTGGGCCTCTACAATAAAGCACGCTATTGGACCGCATCGGGATTCGGGATGCCAAGAAAGGACGTAAAAACCTTTTTCGCAACGATCTTGGCGCTTCCGGTATTGTCTCAGTGCCAACCCTAGTTTTTTTCCCCTTGTTTAAACTAAGGAGCCATCATGGCCTCCAAGTATAGTCACAACTATTCCTAATTTGTACACTTGCTCACTGAGTGTATGTATGTCCACATCGACAAACCTGCATTTGTTTACGAAAGTGGTCGAAGTTGTAGGATTAAATCGCCATTTTATGTTTGCATGATTCTGCTACGCGTGAAATTTGACCGATTGCGAAACAATCAAGTTCGATCAATCACATTCTGAAAAAAAATATATTCGGAGAAGATACTAAACTAGTAACAGAAATTACATTCGAATGTGTTTTAATTGCAGTAAAATTGTGCATCTGGAACAACTACAAATGTTTTATGACATAAGCAACTATTTTGTTATGTGAAAAACGTGATATTGTGGTTTCAATAATCGTTTCCGGAAACGTTACATCCAAGGTTAATTGTTCAACTACATTGTTCTTTTTACTTGTACCATTATTTTGTTCAAAACCGTTTTTCCTTAGTGGAACTCTTTTTGAACTTCTAAGCCCACACAAAACACGCATAAATGCTACTTTTAATTCTGCTTGTGTGCCCTTACGTCCGCTACTTTGGATTATCTGCACGCTCACCATCGTTCCATGTTTACAGTCTTATGATTTCTCCCCCGGTCTCATCTCTGACTCGTTCTCCTCCACGATTACAGATGCCTCATCCTCTGCTTTATTCTCCGTCCCTTTCCTCCACTCCCTGACGTTCTCGTCCACCGGGTGCTCGCGCCTCGTCCCCAGTTTCGGACTTCCACTCTTTGTTCCTCCATACTCTCCTACCTCGTATTATGCCTTTCGTTGTCCTTACGTTGCCTCTTGCATCGTGTCTTACTGTCTCTCCTCCACATTTCTTTAACTATCTCTATATTTCTCACCCTAGAGTATCACGCGTTCTCTCTTATCTCGTTAATGACCGTACTGCTTCTGCTTCGTCTGTCTCCGCTCTTGTTACTTCTCTCACTGAATTTGTCTTCACCCGTCGCGTTAACTACGCCACCCAATTGGTGTCTCCAACTCTCCGTCCTCAGTCCGTTGAGGGTGGTCTCATCCTTGATTGTAACATCCTAGAGGATATATAGTTCAAGCTAGCCTTCCTTGCGCCCACTGCTCCTCACCCCTTTACCATGCTACTCGCCCCTGAGGGAGACACGGACGCTTTTGACATCCCAACGACATGCACTTACGCTAAGTGGTCCAAAGGCATTTGCGTCTGAGTGGTCCTCTCAATAGACACATAGATGGCATCTTGGAGGTCCACATGCATTTGCATTGACGCCGTTCCTCCTCCTAGAAAGATCGTAGTTGATGGCATGTAGGTCTTCAAGGTGAAACGACCACCTGGATCGTCGCATGTCTTTATTGCGCGCTATGTATTGAGGTGCTTTAATCAGCGTGAGAGAGTAAAATTCTCCCATACCTTCTTTCCCAACCAAAAAATGACAATTATTTGGGCACTACTGCACGTCGCAGCACATTACAAAACAAGCTATACTCACTAGACTTCTCTATTGCCTTTCTCTAGAGTGGCCTGCTTGAGCAGTTCTGGCTTCGGTCCTCCTAGCTTCACTGGCTCTTCTCCTCTTGTGACCTTCTGGAGCCTATGTCGACTAGTCTACGGCCTGTATCGGGCTCTCCGTGGGTGGCATGACGCGTTGCGAACTCCTCTTGATGCTTTTTTGTTCGCACAGGCCTGAAGCCGTTCTTTGTTCTTGTTTGTGTCAACCATTTGGTCTTTGCTACCGTAAACAAGGTTACTCTATCTTCAGTGAAGGCCGAACTTTTGAAAAAATGCATTCGCACTGACCTTGGTAAGCTGTGATGCTATCTTGGTTGCCAATCACCAAGGGCAAAGCAACACGCACTATCACTTTGACCCATTTACACATTGTGAAGCAGATCATTTAGCAGTTCTGCCTTCTGCTCATTTGGCTGATGATCACACGCTCTCTGCTCCTGTTCCTGACGAGTCAATTAAGCCAAGTGATCCATTCGCATAGCTAGTGCGCTCATATAACTGATAGCATGCACTTGTTCAGACTTAGCCTATCATCCCTTGCTCTCTTCGTTGCGAATAAGAAACAAAGTCCTGCTCACTGGTTGGCCACTAGAGGGTAGTGAGGTGTCTAGCACGTTAGGCATAGGGCTTCTGCTTGGGAGGACGACATTCAATCGGACTCACTGGACACACTGACGCTTCCTGGGTACACGACGTCAAGACTCTCAACTCCACTTGGAACTACTACTTCAGTCTTTGTGCATGAATTGTCTCGTTGAGATCTACTCGTTTGTCGATGGTTGCTTCTGCCAGTGCTAAGGCAGAGATCTACGCCGTACGCAAGAGCTCTGCTTGTTAACCTTCATACTCACTAATTTGGTTCTGTACAAACCTGCTCGCTGGTAACAAGGATATGATCCTCCTGTGTCAGGAGCGTAGACTATAGGGCAAACGAATCATATACAGCTGCGGTACTTTCTTCTTCGTGAGTTGCAGAAACGTAGTTACGCACGATTGGTTTTCTTGGCCTCAGTGGCCAACACCTATGGTATTTTCTCTAAGGCATTACAGCCTCATAAACATCAGCAGTTCTGCACATCTTAGCCTTGTTCCAGCAGGTCTTCACTTGTTAGGTTGCTCATACCGTATATGCATTTGCTTTGTCTTTGCCTTGCTTGTACACATTGAATGGTCTTGTGGCTGCTGGTTTCAAAGTTTGGGCTAGTTGTACCGCCTTGAGTTGTGTTCTATACACTTGCAATTCTTGCTGACTGGTCTTATGACTAGGCTGGAGTACTATTACCACCACAACTTGCTTCTTGCCCATCATACACAGTTCTCCTCTATTTTAGCCTAGTGGATGTATTATTGTGTAGTTAAGACGTGTCTATTACACTTGGATTAGGTATTTGTACCCGTGCATGTCATTGAGTCCAGCATTCTCATTTTAATAGTAATTCCCTTTTCAGACTATGATTGAATAGCCTTTATGATATTGTTAAAAAATTTAGAACTAGGATGCGGTTTGTATGATACATTGGTCATCGCAGGAACGTACATTCGATTGCGCAACATGCATCCCATTATGGCCAACAGGGGCACTGGGGTGTTCAACCAAAATATTTCCCCCCTCCCCTTCTCAAAGTAGGTGGAACGTTTGAATGGACGAGGATTACTGGTATTGAATCAAATAAGTAAATGGTAATGAACGGAGAACAGAGACGTTCTTAGATCTGTAATCCGAGGAAAAATCAAGTCATGATATTTCGAATTTGATAGTGAATCGTCTTTACATGGGAAATTTGACTTCGAATCCGTTGAGCCCTTAGATAGCGAAAACAGTTTCCTCCGTCGGCCATGCTGACCGTCCGTTTCATCTGCTCCTTCTGCCTCCACTGAGGCCTGTCGTGCTTCTAGTCCGGAACCGACTGTACAAATCGGCCCTTGTTAGATTCGGTCTTGTTCGTTGACCTAGAGCACGCCCTAGGCTGGAGGGGACTTCGTGGATAAATACGTCCGTAATTCAAGCTACAGACAAGCAGGAAGTAGCAAAAATCCCGTGAGTCTAGCCATCGACTTTGAACGTTACCTCCAGAAATAAGTCCGCAAGTATGTCTGGCCGAGGAAAGGGAGGCAAAGGTCTTGGCAAGGGCGGGGCAAAGCGGCACCGTAAGGTGCTTCGCGATAACATCCAGGGCATCACCAAGCCGGCTATCAGGCGTCTCGCTCGCCGTGGCGGCGTGAAGCGTATCAGCGGTCTAATATACGAAGAAACTCGCGGCGTCCTGAAGGTGTTCCTTGAGAATGTCATTCGCGACGCTGTGACTTACACGGAGCACGCCAGGAGAAAGACAGTGACGGCCATGGATGTCGTTTACGCCTTAAAACGCCAAGGCAGGACCCTTTACGGCTTCGGTGGTTAATTTGCATGCCTGATTTATGTAGTGGACGGAGACGTCTTAGTGAACGTGTAGGTATTTGGGTACGACGAGCTGTTTACTCTAACCATGTGTTGTCTGATCACTAACTATTCCGAATAAAAACCAAATCGACGTGTTGCGTTCGTGTTTAGCTGCTCTTTGGAAATTTGTCTACAAATAGATGCGGAAGTGATCTGTGGCTGCTGACTTAAAAACTTCAGCCGTGTCAATTTCAGTTTTGCCTTCCTGGTGAAGAATTCCTGCTACGTTCGTATAGCATTAATAACATTCTCGGAAAAATGGGTTACGCTTTCAGACTTACATAATCTTCCTCGATTTCTGATTGCAAGGACCAGAAATATGCCTGATAAATCTAGACCCATAACTACGTCGATTCGGCACGGCTCGTTTATTTGCTTGTTAGACAAAAAACTTGTTATGTCAATGATAGCTTAAAGAGCGAGTTAATAGAGTTATATTACACCAAGACAAAAACTAAGGAATTGTACTAGACTAGGCACTTGTGAACTTCGTCACAGCTTTTGTTCCCTCTGACACGGCGTGCTTGGCCAGCTCTCCGGGCAGCGTCAACCGAACAGCCGTTTGGATCTCGCGAGACGTGATCGTCGGCTTCTTGTTGTACCGCGCAAGCTTCGATGCCTCAGTCGCAAGCTTCTCGAAGATATCATTGATGAACGAGTTCATGATCGACATGGCCTTTGACGAAATGCCTGTGTCTGGATGCACTTGCTTCAAGACCTTGTAGATATAAATCTTGTACGTTTCCGTAACGGCCTTGCGAGCCTTCTTCTTCTCTTTCTTGTCGCCGATGGGCTTTTTCCCCGCAGGAACGGCTTTCTTAGCGGCAGTCTCCTTCTTGGGGCCCTTCTTGGCGGCCTTCTGCTCTCCCTCAACCTTAGGAGCCATTGGAACTAAGGAAAATTGTACGAACTCTAAAACTGAAAAGCGGAAAGTCGACTAGAGGTTTGCGCGTTGAAGTCGGAAAGCTAGTGAGCAAAGTAAACTGTGAATATTGGACTAGGAGCTCGGATTATGGAAGGGTGAGGTTCACCACGCAATTTGAATTGTTGTTCCTTGCTTGCAGATGTTTTCAAGGGACATCGGGGTTGTTTGATGTCCGATTTCGTCCAATAGGGTAAATCTTGACGGATCGATAAGGTTCCACGCAGAAAGATTGTAAGCCGTTCGATAAGGGCGGTGAACTTTCTAGTGGTCGCGATTGAACCTTTCTGGGGCTGCACGCGATTGAACACTAAACTTTTTATCACCTGCCCGCGAAGTCTGTTCGCCCTTGCACTGGCCCCGCACATGGATGTGCCGAACCACTCCTGCACAACACAAACATTCTTGACATCGCGAAACCCAATCAAAACACGTCTTAATGGTAACCTCGCATCGACGCATTTCACGTTTTGCCGTCGATAAGGTGCACCGAAATGGATCATCGACGACAGAGATCACTCTGTACTCTTCCCAACTTCCTCCCAGACCACCCACCGCAAGCCTCGCAAATCTGGGTTCAGGCCAGGAGCAGAGGAACACCATTGCCCCTCCCTTCAGCTCACTCATGCCATTTCCCAGGCACCTCAAAACAGAGCGGCCAAAACATCCACCTATATATAGACGGTGGTAGTTTGTTCTAGCACATCACCGTTCCTTTCATCACTCAAGCGCCCAACATCCAGCAGCTATCAAGTAGCTCATCACATTATTTTCAGTTCTAGGCCTTCTCCCAGGCTTTATTGCTCAGCATCGTCTGCACGTCCAAATCGTAATTTCGTGTCGTCTGCAACGTTCACTTTGCACTTTCTACTTTGACAACTTGCCATGTCGGGACGCGGCAAGGGAGGCAAGGGCCTTGGAAAGGGAGGCGCGAAGCGCCACAGGAAGGTTCTTCGCGATAACATCCAGGGCATCACCAAGCCGGCTATCAGGCGTCTCGCTCGTCGTGGCGGCGTCAAGCGTATCAGCGGTCTGATCTACGAAGAAACGCGTGGCGTGTTGAAGGTGTTTCTTGAGAATGTTATTCGCGACGCCGTGACTTACACTGAGCATGCCAGGAGAAAAACCGTCACCGCCATGGATGTTGTTTATGCTTTGAAACGCCAAGGCAGAACACTATACGGCTTCGGCGGCTAGCCGGTTACCATGAACTAGCTTGGACATGTAGAAGTCGTAGCCTCCATAGTTTACCATTGACTTTGATGTGATTCAATCAAGATTGTACAAAGAATATCTAATCCTTAACCCTGCACCTCTCTCCGCCTTGAGAAGAAGACTCCTCCACGTTCCAGTTGGACAGCCCTAATTGTCCTATCTTATCATTTCAACTGAAGGAAAATGGACAGCCTCCCTGCTAAGGTAGCCAGAATTCATTGGAGAAACACATCTTCTATCCAGTAGTCTACTCTTGAAACTAATATAGAACAGCAGAGCAAGTACCGTATCAGCGTTTCAAGTTGGTCCTTCACTTTTGCTAGTGTTGCTGCTGCCACTGTTGAGAAAAGTGTTGATGCTACCATTATTCTCCAGATCACTTGGCAGCGGCAGGAGGCGCCGCTCAGGAACTGAGAATGCTGAGCCAACTCACACCACACTGAATCTGAGCCAATTTGGCATAGTATAATCACTGCTGCTGAAGAGCACTTCCCATTATCTTCTCAAATCACTTGGCAGCGGCAGGAGGCGGCGCCCTGGCACTGAGAATGCTGAGCCATGCCACCACTCACTGTGAATCTGAGCGAATTTGACACAGTACAACCACTGCTGCTGAAGAGCACTTTCCATTATCCTCCCAATTACTTGGCAGCGGCAGGAGGCGGTGCCCTGGCACTGAGAATGCTGAGCCAGGCTACCACACCCACAGTCAGAATCACCCACCCTGCCACGTCATACCACAGATCGCTGCTCTTCTTTTTCTTCTGGACCTGCATAGAAGGAAGCAGCCACAGCCATACGGTGAGGTGATACACAACCGGCCCCAGTTCCTGCTGCTGTCCCAGCCGCCCCCAGCAACGGAGGTTACTGAAAGTTCACTAAAGTTAAGAAAATTGGGTCATTAAAGGTTCATCATACCTTGGGGGCATCCATGGACGATGGATGAACAGCCGCCCCCAGCGCATGCTGGTGCTAGGCGCCCCCAGTAAAGAAGGTTATGTTACTGGGAGTGCACTAGAAACAGGGTGAGCGAGCGCATCAATGGTGTACGTCATACCTTAGGAGCATCCATGGACGATGGATGCACTGCTGCTCCTAGCGCCTGCTGCTGCTGCCCCAACTGGCATCAGCAACTAAGGTTGCTGCGAGTGCACTAGAAACAGGGTGAGCGAGCGCATCAAAGGATCATCATACCTTGGGAGCATCCATGGACGATGAATAAACAGCCGCCCCCAGCGCATGCTGCTGCTAGGCGCCCCCAGTAAAGAAGGTTATGTTACTGGGAGTGCACTAGAAACAGGGTGAGCGAGCGCATCAATGGTGTACGTCATACCTTAGGAGCATCCATGGACGACGGATGCACCGTCGCCCCCAGCGCCTGCTGCTGCTGCTGCTGCCCCAACCGGCCCCAGCAACGAAGGCTACGTTACTGGGAGTGCACTAGAAACAGGGAAATTGCATGGTTGTTCACCATACCTTAGAGGCATCCATGGATGACGGATGCACTGCTGTCCCCAACGCCTGCTGCAGCGCCATCTGCTTCTGCACCTCTTGATGCAACTCCAGTTGAAGTGCATTGGAAACACTGAAAGTGCAAAGCCATACCTTGATCATTACTCCAAGCATCATACCTTGGGAGCATCCATGGACGATGGATGCACAGCTGCTCCCAACGCCTGCTGCAGTGCCATCTGCACCCAGCGCGAGGATGTGTATAACATGTGCATGCATGGTTGTTCGTCATACCTTGGGGGCATCCATGGAAGATGGGTGGACAGCCGCTCCCAACGCCTACTGCAGCCGCTCCCAGCGCCTGCTGCAGTGCCATCTGCACCCAGCGCGAGGATGTGTATAACATGTGCATGCATGGTTGTTCGTCATACCTTGGGGGCATCCATGGAGGAGGGGTGTACTGCAGCTCCCAGCGCCTGCTGCAGTGGCATCTGCTTCTGCACCTCTTGATGCAACTCCAGTTCAAGTGCACCAGACAACAATCAAAGTGCACCGTCGTTCATCATACCTTAGGGGCATCCATGGAGGAGGGGTGCACAGCTGCCCCCAGCGCCTGCTGCAGTGCCATCTGCTTCTGCACCTCTTGATGCAACTCAGGGCCCTGCCATCAGAGGGGATAATAATTGATTCTATGACTTAGCACACAATTTAAAGAGAGACAGAACAGTTTCTGAGGCTCCAGCGGCTGTTGCAGTGCCATTTGCTTCTGCACCTCTTGATGCAACTCCGGGCCCTGCGATTGAGTCAAGTACATTCACAGCAAGAACACCAAGTCTGTACACCCTCTGAGGCCCCTGCTGCAGAGCCATCTGCTTCTGAACCTCTTGATGCAACTCGGGACCCTGCAATCACACGATTAAGGAGAGGTACCACGCGCACTTGTTTTTATAATGAAAAACGCGCTGAATGCGATATTTTGCAGCACGAACAAAGAGGTACAGGTTCTGAGGTGCCAAACAAGCCTTTTGCTTCTGCACCTCTTAATGAAGCTCAGGATAGACACCAGGGTTTGGATATAGAAGGTGAATAACAGTCAGAGAACACAGAGGGGAAATAGGGAATGCCAAAACAGCTGCCCACTCACCACTCAGAAAAAAGGAAAAATCACACACAGTACGCACACGCACACGCAGACGCACACGCAGACGCGCACGCACACACGCACACACAAGCGCAGACAGAAACACACACAAGCGCATACAGAAATATTGGGGACAACAAGCACAACATACAACATCCAACATCCAAATGGCTAAGGATGGGATCTCTACAAATGCCCAGACACAGAACACCAGGTCTCACCTTCAGAGAGATCTCCAGTGATTTGCGGTAGGCATCATTGCTTGGGTCCTGCCATTGGACAAGCGTTCGGGGGAAAGGGATTACGGTATGGATTAGGCTTGCAGGTGAAGGGTTAAGGGAGACCGCCCCCTCCCAGTGTCTTGCAATAGGTGTTGTTAATTGGGCCCTGCAATACACACGCAGTGGAAGGTCCTGGTGGTGTGCACATTGCAAGGCCGTACCGGCAAATCATACAACACACTGAACCTTGAATAGCCGCGTTGAGCCACACTGAACCGCACTGCACCGCAATGACCAATGACTTAACGCATCCAACGACTTTCTGAAGAAATTGGAGGCTTTACAAAGCTGACTTTCGCCGGGTAACATCGGGCGTCTAAACGCCCCTGGTGGTGTGTGCATTGACAATCTAACCAGCTATTGAACCGCACTGAACCACTACCTACCGCGTCAAGCGCCTTCCTGAAGCAAACGAAGGCCTTCTCAAAGCTGACGTTAGCAAGAGTAGCATCCGGTGTCTGAAAGCTCCTCGTGGTGTGCTCGTTGCAGGGAAACCATACCCCAACATGCTAAACCCCAAACGGCCACACTGAACCGCACTGAACCACGACGTACCGCATCCAGCGCCTTCCTGAAGCAATCGGAGGCTTTTTCAAAGCTGACGTTGGCCAAAGTAGCATCAGGCGTCTGAAAACCCCTCGTGGTGTGCGCGTTGCCAAGCCACCAGAGGGTATCGGGGCGCGAGGGGGCAATCTTCAGGGCCTCGTCAAATTTAGATACAGCATCTGAACAGAGCAATAGGGGAGGAAATGGGAGCATTTGGACAGTGGGGGGGGGTGGGAGGGTTAAAAAAGGGGGAAGAGCTCTATTCTGCACGTCTGAAAGCCCCCGCGAGGTGTGCGTGTTGCCAAGCCACCAAAGAGTGTCAGGGCAAAATGGTGTGAGATTCAATGCTTCATTGAACTTGGATACATCATCTGAAGGCAAGGCACGGGAAGGGAATGAAAAGGTTCTGAAATGCCTCCAAACCACCACAGGGTGTTGGGGTGAGAGGGTGCTGCTTTTATGGCTTCACCGAACTCTGACACGGCATCTGAAGGCAGCAAGAGGGGAGGCAATGGAAGGTTAGTTTTGATGCGCCTCAGAACTCAACTCAATGCCTTCATGGCTTTATCGAACTTTGACACGGCATCTGAAGGCAGCAAGAGGGGACGGGATGGAAGGGGAGGAGTACTCTTGAGACGCCCGGGGTAGGAGAGCGGAGGAACATTGGAAGACGGGAGGGGAGTGGAGTGGAGTGGAGTGGAGGGGAGAGGAGGGGAGCAGTAGGGATGGGAGGGGTAGGGATGGGAGGGGAGGATAGGGGAGGGGAAGATAGGGGAGGGGAGGGGAGGGGACGGAAAGGGAGGGGAGGGGAGGGGACGGAAAGGGAGGGAGGGGAGGGGGGAGGGGAGGGGAGGGGAGTAAAGGAGAGAGGAGGGGGGTGCATTGTAACACTCACCGTCCAGCATCTCATTCGACTCCTGACCCTGGATGAACTGAGCCAGTTCACTCACTACAGCAGCTTTTTGACTCGTTATAAGCAGCCCCGTTACACTCACTGTCCAGCATCTCATTCGACTCCTGCCCCTGAATGAATTGCGCCAATTCACTCGGGGGTTGAATAAAGCTCATTACAATCAGCGTCTTGACTCGTTATGAGCAGCCCCGTTACACTCACCGTCCAGCATTTCATTCGACTCCTGCCCCTGAATGAACTGCGCCAGTTCACTCACTACAAGCAGCAACCCGTTATAAGCAGCCGCGTTACAATCATTCACCATCCAGCATTTCATTCGACTCCTGCCCCTGGATGAACTGCGCCAGTCCACTCAAAACAAGCAGAGTTCGCTATAAGCAGCCCCGTTACACTCACCATCCAGCATTTCATTCGACTCCTGCCCCTGAATGAACTGCGCCAGTCCACTCACTACAAGCAGAGTTCGCTATAAGAAGCCCCGTTACACTCACCGTCCAGCATTTCGTTGGACTCCTGCCCCTGAATGAACTGCGCCAGCTCCACAAGTGTCCGGCCGAGCTTAGTGAGGTTCTGCAAGGAGGGATGCAGAAGGGCATAAGAGTGCAGAGGAGTGCAAAGGGGTAGTGAACAAACTCGTTAGACTCCTGACCCTGAATATATCAACTGTGCAAGCTCCACGAGCGTTCTCTCGAGCTTGGTCAGATTCTGCAAAGAGAGATGCAGAAGGACACAAGAGTGCAGAGGAGAGCAGAAGGGTTGAGAAAAAACTCGTTCGACTCCTGCCCTTGAATAAATCAACTGCGCCACCTCCACCAGTGTTCGGCCGAGCTTGGTCAGATTCTGCAAAGAGGGATGCAGAAGGGCATAAGAGTGCAGAGGAGTGCAGAGGGGTAGAGAACAAACTCGTTGGACTTCTTCTGACCCTGAATGAACAGCGCCAGCTCCACAAGTGTCCGGCCGAGCTTGGTCAAATTCTGAGGGGCGCCGAGGGAAGGATGGACGGAAAGGAGCAGATGAGCAGTGGACCAGGGAAGCAGAAAGGCAGAGAAGCAGGGACGCAGGAAAGCAGAGAACCAGAAAAACAAGGACCAAACCTCGCTGGATTCTGCAAGGGTTCGAACGACAACAGCTACTGACGACTCCCTCCCCCCCCACGTGCCACCAGTCCGCACTCCGCGACCGCACCTGGAACTGTACCAATCGACTGTACCTGCGACTGTAACTGCGATCGCGACAGCAACCGTACCTGCGACAGCACCTAGGACCGTACCTGCGGTCGACCTGCGACAGCACCTGCGACGGAGCCTGCGACAGTCTCTGCGACTATGCTTGCGACCATACCTACATGCGCTCCCTCGACTGCTCGCAAAACATGTTTCGCGTTTCAAGCGTACACCACTTGAACCAACAGCCCCGTGAAAGTACTCACATCGGCATCATGCGGTTTCTTCTTGAACTCTGCCATGGCCTGCTCCCTCGTCTGCTCGAAGGGCATGAATGATTCGCAATTCAAGTGGGCCCAGTTTGAACCGACAGCCCCCTCTAAAACTACTCACATCGGCGTCATGTGGGTTTTTCTTGAACTCAGCCATCGCCTGCTCCCGCGTCTGCTCGAAGAACATGATTCGCTCAAAGTCTTCTCTCGGGATCTCCATTTTCCCAAGTTAGCCGTTAACGTCTGGACCTTGACTGTTACCGTCGGATCCTTGACGGTGAACGTCTGACTGTGACCTGTGCCGTTTGATTCTAAGCCGGTGGCGGTTGATCTCAGTCTTTTACGTCCGATCGTTAACAGTGACGACTTATTTTAACCGCTGGCGTCTTATCCTTGAACCGCTACCGTCGGATCCTCGTTTGGGATATCGGCAAATTAAATCGATTACAACCTGATCGGACCGAGTATATGTCCGTTTTCCTCTCACGTCTAAACCCTTACAGCTATCCCAAGTCGCAAAGGACAAAAGCGCAATCGCCGGGCGTCGCAGCGTCCTAACGTGCCGCGAATCTAGGTTCACGCAAGGTTCTAGGCGGAGGTTAGGAGGTGATTACAGCCGCGGATGACACGTCAGGAGAAAAACAGGAGACCAGTGGGACGAGGAGGGAGAAAGGTGGGACAGCCACGAGAGTGTAGAGTAGTTACCGGTACTTCGTACGGCTTTCGCCACGGCCGTAATTCGCGTATTGGTAGATATCCGATGCACGTTACGAGCGGTTACCAAAATCGCGAGGGAGCAGGGAGTTAGAGAACGCGATATCTGCAAATCTTTAGAGGTTAACAGCTCATGAATATACATCATACTAAACTAGTTACATCTAGAGTCATCAAACCCCCAGGGCTCACGGATAAACATCTCCCTTCTATTCATTGGCACTTATATAAACATGTATCATATACACAACTATGTAAAACGCGAGTCATCAAACACCCAAGGCTCATGGATAAACAGCTCTCTGCCATTCATGGGCACTCGCCCCGCCGCTATGTCCTCCGCTCGCTTCCTTGCTGCCTCCTCCTTCCTTACATACAACTAGGTAAATCTCGAGTCATCAAACACCCAAGGCTCATGGATAAACAGCTCCCTTCCATTCATGGGCACTCGCCCTGCTGCTATGTCCTCCGCTCGTTTCCTTGCTGTCTCCTCTTTCCTCGCAGTTTCCTCTTGATCCTAAGCCAGAGGGGAACAGGCAGGAGGTGATAAGACAATACCAAAATCAGATGGGCAAGTTCAGGGGGTAATCCCGAGAGAATTTAGGTTGAGGACAATTGGGAGGGAATAAGCAGCTAATTGCTGAAGCAGAGACAGAAACAACATGCAACAGAAACAGTAAACAAGTCCACAGCCGCAACAGAAACTGTAAACTGACCCACGCCAGGTGATTTGACCCACGCCAGGTGATTTGACCCACGCCGGGTGATTTGACCCACGCCGGGTGTTAAATTCAGAACAACCGGGCAGCCATCCCCTCTCACACATTGGAAGAAGTACCAAATTCACACATACAAAGGTGACTTTTGAGTCGACTCAAAAGTCAACCGGGCAGCCATCCCCTCTCACACATTGGAAGAAGATCCAACTTCACACATACAGTGAAACCATCCTCCTTCCCATCCTTCAAACACACTGAAAGCTCACTTTCAAGCCCACCTTCCTGGCCTTCCACGCGCGGAACTGCTCCAGAGTAATTGGCGTGCGGGCCTCAGCTGCTGGCTCCCCTCGCAGACGCTCATCCACAGGTGCATCGGCTGCTGGTCCGTTTCAACCCAACCAAGCATGGCTCTGGCACGCATTAAACCTCACCTTCCTCGCCTTCCACTCGCGGAACTGCTCCAGAGTCATTGGCGTGCGGCCCTCAGCTGCTGGCTCCCCTGGCAGACACCCATCCATCCACCCAGCTTTCAATCACATCTCACCTTCCTCGCCTTCCATTGCTGGTACTGCTCCAGAGTCATTGGCGTGCGGGCCTCAGCTGCTGGCTCTGCTGGCAGGTTCCCATCTTCAGGCACATCCACTGCTGGTTCCCATTCAGTTGGGTAAGAAAGAACCCTAGCATGCACACCACAAACCTCACCTTCCTCGCCTTCCATTCGCGGTACTGCTCCAGCGTCATCGGCACACGAGCCACCACGTCACCCTCAGCTGCTGGCTCCCCTGGGCGGTGAGATCCCAAATTCCAGCTTTCAGTCACAGCACACCGTTCAAAAACAACTTACCTTCCTGGCCTTCCATGCGCGGTACTGCTCCAGCGTCATCGGCACACGAGCCACCACGTCACCCTCAGCTGCTGGCTCCCCTGGGCGGTGAGATCCCAAATTCCAGCTTTCAGTCACAGCACACCGTTCAAAAACAACTTACCTTCCTGGCCTTCCATGCGCGGTACTGCTCCAGCGTCATCGGCACACGAGCCACCACGTCACCCTCAGCTGCTGGCTCCCCTGGGCGGTGAGATCCCAAATTCCAGCTTTCAGTCACAGCACACCGTTCAAAAACAACTTACCTTCCTGGCCTTCCATGCGCGGTACTGCTCCAGCGTCATCGGCACACGAGCCACCACGTCACCCTCAGCTGCTGGCTCCCCTGGGCGGTGAGATCCCAAATTCCAGCTTTCAGTCACAGCACACCGTTCAAAAACAACTTACCTTCCTGGCCTTCCATGCGCGGTACTGCTCCAGCGTCATCGGCACACGAGCCACCACGTCACCCTCAGCTGCTGGCTCCCCTGGGCGGTGAGATCCCAAATTCCAGCTTTCAGTCACAGCACACCGTTCAAAAACAACTTACCTTCCTGGCCTTCCATGCGCGGTACTGCTCCAGCGTCATTGGCACACGAGCCACCACGCCGCCCTCAGCTGCTGGCTCTGCTGGCAGGTTCCCATCTTCAGGCACATCGACTGCTGGTTCTGGTTGTTCTCCAGCGTTTAGAAACTCCGCTCCCATGTTGGCGCTTGCTGGGTGGCTTGACCACAGAGAGGACCGGGAGTGGAAAGGGACACTTTGAACCTCATCACAATTCATTCAACCACAGGCAGCACATCGACTGCTGGTTCTGGTTGTTTAGATACTCCTGGTTGCACTTCTGGTTGTCCCCTCCCCGTCTAGAAACTCTGCTCCCATGTTGGCGCTTGCTGGGGCGCATGGGATAAGAGGACCAGGAGGGACGAGGAGATCAAAGCTCAACCACAGGCACATCGACTGCGGGTTCCGCGCGTTCCCCTGATCCTCCGTTCTCATGGCGCCTTGCTGGTTGGCATGATGAAAGAGAGGACCGGGAGTGGAAGGGGGGATTTGCATGAGACGACTCAAAAGCTCATCCACAGGCACATCGACTGCTGCTGGTTCTGCCCGTTCCCCTGCGTCTAGATACTCTGCTCTGCTCCCGTGATGACGCCTGCTGGGAGGGGAGGTCGTGACGAGACGCAAGCCCCAAGGGTGGAATGAGACGGATGAAAGAGTATTCATGGCGGTCTATTGTTGTGTCGACTCAAAAATAGACTCATCACACGGGGTATTCGTGACTGTATGCGAGGCCGAAGCGTGGAACGAGACGGATAAAGGGGTATTCGCGGCGGCAATAGTGATGAATTGGTGGGGTAGCAGAGTGGAAATTTTCACTTTAGCAGTAATGACTCGGTGGGGTAACAGGGCGGAAAAATGAGCCTAAGAATGACAATCTGGGTGGTATAAAGTCGTATTACTGTTTGAAATTGCGGTTGATAGTGATGTATTTTCTTAGGCGCCGCTAAGACCTTCCTCCTTGACCTGTAAGTCAAAGCCACGCGGCAGGCAAGAGATGAATCGGTGAAACGCACCTCTACGGCAAAATGATTCGCGAATCGCGAGGTTGATTAGCGCCTTGAATGCGGACGGACGGACGGACGGACGGACGGACGGACGGGCGCACGTCTGCGGATAAAGGGTGTGCCTGATTCGTGACGGCGACAGGCGACGGCGAAGCTATGCGAACGAGTGCGAAGTTATGCGAGGAGATACTAGGGGTGGCGAAGTTATGCTACGAGGTGGGTTATGAGTGGCGAGGCGATGCGACTAGGCACTATGAGTGGAGAACGCACTCGAGGTATTATGAGAACCACAGCAGGGTGGGCTGATGGAGACTGAACAGGTGGGCGTGTGTGGTGTAGTGTGGTTTTGTATGCTGCGATACATATTAGTGTGGTTTGGTATGGTGTGGTGTGCTGCTGTATCATATCATCTTCGGCAAAAGCAGTTCTGTTTGTGAATATCAGACGGCATGACGGGCACACCAAAAAAAATGTTTGTTCCTCGTACTTCCTCTGACTTTACTAGAACAAAATTATACGTTACGCAGAGAATAAGTTTCTTGTCCCCTAAAACCAGTATAATATCGGTTCTGAATTTTATGGATAGGAAGGTTAAAGGTTAAATTTGTTTTTCTGGTCGTAACCAGTTTATAAGGGGTATCCACTCCTAGATGAGCACGTGCTAACCCCTACTTGGGGCTGGCAGAACACGCCTGCACGGGGGTGGGTTCGATCCCAGGACCTCATCTATCGGAAGTGCCTCTTTCTACTGACTAGGCCACTTCAGGATTTTATGGATAGGAAGAGGTTGAAAACATTTGTTTTTGTTTGAAACGTTGGCGAAGCAAATGACGTCGCTGTATTTTGTCGAAGTTGTCAATAAGCATTAACTGTTTCTCGGGTCAACGGAAACTTGAGGCCTTGAACAGCCCTGACGCAGCCTGCTGTGCATATCGCAGCAAGTGGAGATTTGCTCTGTTCCCTAATAAGCCCGCAAATTGTTCCGAACCGTAGGAAAAATATCTTAACCGACCGGAACCATACGGCTGTGCGGCCGGAAAATGTGGACCGCGACTTCAGCTTTTGACCAGCAGCGCGGCGCCACGGTGAAAAATGCCCTGACGGGGACACCACCATTCTCATCAGTCTCCCTCACGCCACGCCACGCGGGAAAAAACGACCCCAAAACCCAACCCATTCTCACGTCGCGCGACATTGCGCGATTCGCAGAACACTGTTTTCAGAAATCCTGATTTCAACCGCCGACAGAATTTCACGACCACCCACCCAACCCAATCCAACTTCCGTCCGCCGTGGCGCGCAGCTTTTGACCGCAACTGCTGCTTCATTTCCCCCTTCGTCTCGTCTCCAGAGCACCTGCTTTAGGCGATGCGGTTCGGATACGTGGTGCCTGAAACGCGATAAGCATAAGTAGCGGACTGATCCAATACCTTATCAGTCGAATCAAAACTTCTTTCTTGACCAGATTAGCATCCTTGAGACTATCTTTGAGACTGACTTAGCTAGAATATCCGGATTCACGTCAGCCAGAAAAACCCTCCAGCCGACTCAAACTGCGCAATCAGCCCTTCTCGCGCCACGATCATAATGGCTTTCACCACTCGTTTCCTCCTCCTGGCGCTCGTGGCTATTGTAATCGTCGCCTTCTCCTCCGAAACACTCCTACTGCGAGCAGCCGCGGCTTCTGAAGCCGGCTCTGGCGCCAGTGAAGCGGACATGACGTCTCTCCCGCTTGACGCCACCAGCAGTGATCACAGCAGGCGCATGCTCAAATCTTCCAGCGATTCGCAAAACAGCAACGGCGGCAGCGGCAGCGGGTCATACAAGCCACGGAAGCACGGAAAGCGGAGCGCGACGAGCAGCAGCGGCGGAGGCGGCGAGGGCTACTGCCCCTACGCGGGCCGCTCGGGGAACTCTCCTGCCAGCATCTTCTGCGGCGGAGCCTGCTGCATCGTACGTCCCCCTCCCCCCTTCCCCACCCCTTCTCCCCCCCAACCCCCCTTCCCGCTCCGCCCCCTTCTGATCCTATTCCTCCGCTTCCGCCCACCATCTTCTGCAGCGGCGCCTGCTGCATTGTATGTCCCCCCCACCCCCCCTCTCTTCTGCCCCTATTCCTCTTCTCCCTTTGCGCCTAGCACCTTCTGCGGCGGCGCCTGCTGGATTGCACGTTCTTCGCCCCCCTCTCCCACCATTCCCCGCTTCCCCCGCCTTGCGGGCGGCCCGCCCGGGAAATTCTCCGCCCAGCCTCTTCTGCGGCGGCGCCTGCTGCGTTCTCTCCCTTCCCCCTCCCCACATATTCCCCCCACCCCACCCCCCCTCTTCTTCTGCCCCCAAACCACTTCTCCCCTTCTGCTCACCATCTTCTGCGGTGGTGCTTGCTTTATTGTGCGTTTTCCTTTCTCTCTTCGCCCCCATCGCTCCCATTCCCCCTGTTTCTCCTTCTCTTTCCCGTCCTTCCACCCGATTCGTCCCTTTCCCGGTGACGCTCTATCTCTAATATATCTTTTCCCGTTCGCCCGATCTCCCTGCTTCACTTTACCCCACTGTCCCCGGTCTTCCTTTTCCTCTCTCTCTTTGTGTATTTGGCAACATCACAGGACTCGGAGTACCCGTGCTGCGGAGGCGGAGGGTGCTGCACCTTCAGTGCACAAAATGTGAACTGTTGTTGTGTGCTAATCCACTCCTGTTTTTCTCTCTTCTTTGGGTCATCTACAGGACTCGGAGTACCCCTGCTGTGGGGGCCAGATGTGCTGCAAGAGGGGAGGGTGCTGTTCCAGCAACGGACGACCCCACTGCTGTTGAGGGCGTGTTAGGTTTAAACTATGGACCCTGAATTTTCCAAGGCAATTCCATCCTGGGTGCCAACTAGATTGCAGTAGGGAGGATCCATGTCAATGACCATATAATATGCATGTTTAGAAGGCCAAAGATATTACTACAGCCAAATTCCCCTTTTCCTACTCTCATGAGACCGCTGGACACTTTGCCTCTGTTGATGTGCATGCACACACCGAGGGGAGTAGCGACAGTGGCATGAAGTGTGATCACGATGGAAACAACTTATTGTTAAGCATTTAATAAATTGAGTTAGCACCCATACGGAGGATAAGTTACTTTTGGTACACATGAATTCAGTTTATAGTCAACTCAAGTATCTATTGGTTCAAGTTTTGACCAAATGAGGTTTACAATTATAAGTCTTATATTTCCAAGTGTCAAGTCACAAACTGAACCGAGTCGTAACGAGTACACAAATCCCAGCCACCAATTCAGATTTGTGCCTCCTACGCCGCTAGTACGGCGAATTTCCGATACCAGTCCGCGCGCGCCATTCCACGTGGCAATCCGCCAGTGGCTCATGGCCGTTCCATGGGCTCGTTCGGTTTGACTTTGTTCCGGCCATTCCAGATTCAGGCGACTCGACGAATTCCGTCTTGCCTATCCTCGAATACAGCTATTTTGACTAGGGATTCTCCCAGAGTACGCCTTGGGAATACCGTGCGGCCGGGAATCTGGAAGGAATTTACAAGCAGCCAGCGGAAAGGGGGAAAGTTACGGCGAAAGGCGATTCGCCTGTCGCGTAGCGCGGAACGGGTGCCGCGATTCACGGCGGTTGGAAGCGCCTTGACGAGTGCCGATAAAAGCGGGGAAATGGAGAGCCGTGATCGAAATGAGGAGGCGGAGAATAAGGATGGCGGGGAGGGAGGCGTGGGGATGGAGATGCGCGGAGTGCTGTTCCGGTGGGGGGAGATGGGCGTGAAGGTGCGTCCTCCTTATTGTGCGTACTCGTTATAAGCATGCATCTTATATGGCGTGGCGGGGCGGGGGGCATGGGAATGGAGATGCGCGGGGTGCTGTTCCGGTGGGGGGAGATGGGCGTGAAGGTGCGTCCCCGTTATAGTGCGGTTTCGTTATAAGCATGCATCCACTATAGGGGGGCGGGGGGCGTGGGGATGGAGATGCGCGGGGTGCTGTTCCGGTGGGGGGAGATGGGCGTGAAGGTGCGTCCCCGTTATAGTGCGGTTTCGTTATAAGCATGCATCCACTATAGGGGGGCGGGGGGCGTGGGGATGGAGATGCGCGGGGTGCTGTTCCGGTGGGGGGAGATGGGCGTTAAGGTGCGTCCCCGTTATAGTGCGCTTTCGTTATAAGCATGCATTCTTCATGGAGGAAGGGGGCGTGGAGATGGAGATGCGCGGGGTGCTGTTCCGGTGGGGGGAGATGGGATAGGCATTTGACGGTGGGCGTTAAGGTGCGTCCTCGTTATAAGCATGCACCCCGCATTGTCCTTACGCATCCACCTTCTCACTCATTCCCTACTCTCCTCGCTCCTCGCTCCTCGCCTTCTCAGGTTGCTTTCCGTTCGTCCAACTCCCCCCGCCACGCCATCATCTCAGGGAAGGAGCAGTATCACATCGAACAATCCCTTTCCCCCATCCCCTCCCTCTTCCACCCATCACCTCCCAGGTTGCTTTTCGCTCGTCGGATTTCCCCCGCCACGTCATCATCCTAGGTGGAGAGAGCTCGCGGGTAATTCGTTTTCCTCGCGCTGTCTCAATCCCCTCCCAGGTTGCTTTCCGCTCATACAACTTCCCCCGCCACGTCATCATCCTAGGTGGAGAGAGGGGAGACGGCAGACAATCTCACAGATAACTTGTTACTCCTGCCGCCATCATGCCTCTCCGTCCTTCCAGGTTGCTTTCCGCTCGTCCGACTTCCCCCGCCACGTCATCATCCTAGGTGGGGAAAGGTGGGGGGGAAGGGGAGCACATACATAAGTCATCTCTTTCCCCCACGCGTCTCTCCTTCTTTCCCCTCCCAGGTTGCTTTCCGCTCGTATGACTTCTCCCGCCACGTCATCATCCTAGGTGGCCTCACGGACGGGCTGCTGCCCACACGGTACACCGCCAGGCTGGCGTCCGAGCTGGCAGCCGCCCATTGGTCGCTGCTGCAGACGCAGCTGTCGTCGTCCTACTTCGGATACGGCACAGCGTCACTGGAGCAGGTAGGGAGTGGGCAAAGGAAGGAAGGATGGGGACTGGCGGTGCAATGTGCCTCTCTCACCTCTTGCTGTCGCTGCTGCTGCAGGCGCAGCTGTCGTCGTCCTACTTTGGATACGGCGCAGCATCTCTAGAGCAGGTACTAAAGCCTGGGCGAAGGAAGGGCATGAGAGAGTGGGAGCAGGCACGGCGGGTGGGTGGGGTATGGCGGTGCAATGCGACTCAGTCTGCTGCTGCAGGTGCAGCTGTCGTCATCTTACTTCGGATACGGCGGATGGGGATGGGGGATGGGGAGAATTGTTACACTGCGTGCTGCTGCTGCAGACGCAGCTGTCGTTGTCCTACTCTGGATACGGGGCAGCGTCTCTAGAGCAGGTAGGCACGTGGGAATATCACAGGAGGTGAGAGCACCCTTATGGTTGGCACGATATACATGTCCTCCATCAGGCAAGTGGGGCTATGTATTACAGGGCGCCTCTCACAGTGTGTGTATCACAAGGCAATGCAAGTCTGTCTCGCTGGCAGTTGCTCTCTGCTTCAGGCGCAGCTGTCGTCGTCCTACTCTGGATACGGCACAGCGTCTCTGGAGCAGGTGGGGAGTGGCCGCAGGAAGGATGGGGTTTGGCGGTGCAATGAGTCTCACTCACCTCTTGCTGCTGCTGCAGACGCAGCTGTCATCATCCTACTCTGGATACGGCACAGCGTCGGTTGAGCAGGTGGGTTGAGTCGAGTGGGGGTGTTTCTGGCAGGTGGGATATGGAGGGGCATGCATGCACGGTGCATCACTGGAGCAGGTGGGTTGAGTCGAGTGGGGGTGTTTCCGGCAGGTGGGTTGAGTCGAGTGAGGGTGCGTGTGGCGGGGTCTGTCGGATATGGAGGGGCATGCATGTTGCATCATCCCTTGTCTCGCGCCACAGCCGCCCATTGGTCGCTGCTGCAGACTCAGCTGCCATCGTCCTATTCTGGATACGGCGCAGCGGCATTAGAGCAGGTGGGGCGGAGAGTGGGGGTGAGTGTGGAAGTCTCGGTCAGTGAACTGTTGAGTTTCTTTTTGCGGCGCCTGAAGCGCAGATTTGGGTGACGGGACGGCTCAGTTGATTCATAAGTCACCTTGTTCCACGCACTGCCCCATGCTCTATGTTCCACGCACTGCCCCATGGCAGGATGCTGCCGAAATAGATGAGCTCATCGCTTACATCATCAAGCGGTACCAGGCGTCGGAAGTTGTGCTTGTCGGCCACAGCACGGGCTGCCAGGTGAATATAACAGAGAGAGGACCTAGCGTGCCAGGTGAATACAACAGAGAGAGGACCTGGCGTGCCAGGTGAATATAACAGAGAGAGGACCTGGCGTGCCAGGTGAATGCAACAGAGAGAGGATCTATCGTGGCGGGCCAGGTGAATGCAACAGATAATTTGGCATGCCAGGAGTGTTGAGTTTATGAGAGCAGCGTTGATGTCAGAAGGGTGCAGTGCGGTGCAATGTGGTATACCGTATGTCGTCCCCCCACCCCTATGTGTCTCCCCCCATCAGGACATAGTGGCATATGTCAAGAGCGCTAGATACACCCACTGCAGCGTTGATGTCAGAGGTGTGCAGTGCGGTGCAGTGTGGTATATCTCTCCCACTCCTCTCCACCCCCCCCTTTCCCTTCCCCTCTCCCCATCTGGACATAGTGGCATCTATAGAGAGCATTAGATGCATGCACCCACTGCAGCATTGATGTCAGAGGGGTGCAGTGCAGTACATCTCTCTTCCCCTCCCATATGTCTCCCTCCCCGCCACGTGCCCCCCTCACATCAGGACATCGTGGCATAAATCAAGAGCGCTAAAGCCACCCACCGCAGCACTGATGTTAATGGGGTGCAATGCGGTGCATTGTGGTAAATCGTGCATCTCTCCCCCACTCTCACATGTCTCCCCATCAGGACATGGTGGCATATCTCAAGAGCGCCAAGGCCACCCATCGCAGCGTTGAAATCTAATGGCAACCCATTGTGTCCTTCCCCTTATCCCCCCCTACGTGTCTTTCCCCTTCTCCCCATCCCTCCCACTCATCAGGACATAGTGGCATACCTCAGGAGCGCTGAAGCCACCCGTCGCAGCGTTGATGCCTGAGGGGTGCAGTGTGGTGCAGTGTGGTATAACTGCATCTCTCCCTCCCCATTTGCCCACCCCTCCCACTCATCAGGACATAGTGGCATATCTCAAGAGCGGTAAAGCCACCCATCGCAGCGTTGTCAAAGCAGCCATTCTTCAGGTGCCACCAGGTGGTTTTCCAGGTGCTGTTGATGTTTGTCAATGTTTGATTTCCTTTCTGGGTAGAATTCTTCCTTTCAGGTGCATACTGTGTGTTTTGTCAGGTGCCTTCAGGTAATTTATCAGGTGGCATTAATAATGTTTAGCAGGTTTTGATTTTCAAGTGCCGCCAGGTAGTTTTCCAGGTGCTTTCAGCAGAAGTCCTGGTTCAATCCAGGTGACAAAGCCCCTTGATCAAAGCCCTTTCACCTGAGCACAGTGGTCAAAGCCCATACCTTAATACGTTCAACCAAGCACATTCATCATAGCCTGACTAACTCTCCTTTCCTTTTCACACTCCACCAGGCCCCAACGAGCGACTGGGAGTGCATGGAGCAGCAGGCGAGGGAGGGGGGAAGGGGGGAAGGGGGGAAGGGGGGGAAGGAAACTGAGTGTTCCTCATACCTCATCTCTTTCTTTCTCGTCCTCCCTTCCCTCTCTTTCCCGTTCATTCTTAGGCACTTACGAGTGACAGGGAGTGCATGGAGCAGCAGGCGAGGGAGGGGGGGAAGGGAGACTCAGGCAACACTGTCGAATCTCATTCTTCTCTCCCTTCCCTGCCTTCACCCCACCAGGCGCCAACGAGTGACAGGGAGTGCATGGAACAGCAGGCGAGGGAGGGGGGGAAAGGAGCAGAGGAGGCATTTGAGGAGATGAAGCGGGCGGCGCAGGCAATGATTTCCCATTCCCCACATTCTCTTTCATCCCCCACCAGGCGCCAACGAGTGACAGGGAGTGCATGGAGCAGCAGGCGAGGGAGGGGGGGCGGGAAGCAGAGGAGGCATTTGAAGAGATGAAACGGGTGGCGCAGGCAATGATTGCGGGCGGCAGAGGCGCCGAGATGATGCCAAGAAGCGCCGATCCGCTCGCACCAATCACAGCGTACAGGTGCGTCGGAAGACGCAAACATGCTTGTACATGTTTCAATCACAGCGTACAGGTGCGTCTGAAGACGCAAACATGCTTGTACATGTTTCAATCACGGCGTACAGGTGCGTCTGAAGACGCAAACATGCTTGTACATGTTTCAATCACGGCGTACAGGTGCGTCTGAAGAAGGATTCGAGGAGATGAAACGGGCGGCGCAGGCCATGATTGCGGGCGTGTGGGAGGCGCCGAGATCATGCCTTTTGAGGCGCCGAGATGATGCCTTTTGAGGCGCCTCAAAATGCACCTCACTGGTGGCGCAGGCCATGATTGCAGGCGGCAGAGGCGCCGAGATGATGCCAAGAAGCGCCGACCCGCTCGCGCCTATCACAGCGTAGAGGTGGGCCTGGCAAGCCAGCCAAGGAACCTACAACAAGGGCAGATATTTGCCTTCTCGATCGAAGTTCTTCTTCAGGATTCTCTTGGAAATCGTCCTGAAAATCCGTCTGAGAACCTTCCTGAAAAACTTCCTGAAAATCCCCCCTTCTGAGAATTCTTAGGAGTAACTCCGGCATACACCAGGTCTGCCCTTGCCAAGCACGAGAGGGAACGTCGACATGTTTGGCTCTCGTCGACGAGATCTCAGAGAGTAAACACGCATGCGTGCATGGGAGGGTAACAGCATTGTGTTGTGCCCTCCCATGCATGCACCAAGTCTGCCCTTGCCAAGCACGAGAGGGAACGTCGACATGTTTGGCTCTCGTCGACGAGATCTCAGAGAGTAAACACGCATGCGTGCATGGGAGGGTAACAGCATTGTGTTGTGCCCTCCCATGCATGCACCAAGTCTGCCCTTGCCAAGCACGAAAGGGAACGTCGACATGTTTGGCTCTCGTCAACGAGATCTCAGAGAGTAAACACGCATGCGTGCATGGGAGGGTAACAGCATTGTGTTGTGCCCTCCCATGCATGCACCAAGTCTGCCCTTGCCAAGCACGAAAGGGAACGTCGACATGTTTGGCTCTCGTCGACGAGATCTCAGAGAGTAAACACGCATGCGTGCATGGGAGGGTAACAGCATTGTGTTGTGCCCTCCCATGCATGCACCGAGTCTGCCCTTGCCAAGCACGAAAGGGAACGTCGACATGTTTGGCTCTCGTCGACGAGATCTCAGAGAGTAAACACGCATGCGTGCATGGGAGGGTAACAGCATTGTGTTGTGCCCTCCCATGCATGCACCAAGTCTGCCCTTGCCAAGCACGAAAGGGAACGTCGACATGTTTGGCTCTCGTCGACGAGATCTCAGAGAGTAAACACGCATGCGTGCATGGGAGGGTAACAGCATTGTGTTGTGCCCTCCCATGCATGCACCAAGTCTGCCCTTGCCAAGCACGAAAGGGAACGTCGACATGTTTGGCTCTCGTCGACGAGATCTCAGAGAGTAAACACGCATGCGTGCATGGGAGGGTAACAGCATTGTGTTGTGCCCTCCCATGCATGCACCAAGTCTGCCCTTGCCAAGCACGAGAGGGAACGTCGACATGTTTGGCTCTCGTCAACGAGATCTCAGAGAGTAAACACGCATGCGTGCATGGGAGGGTAACAGCATTGTGTTGTGCCCTCCCATGCATGCACCAAGTCTGCCCTTGCCAAGCACGAAAGGGAACGTCGACATGTTTGGCTCTCGTCAACGAGATCTCAGAGAGTAAACACGCATGCGTGCATGGGAGGGTAACAGCATTGTGTTGTGCCCTCCCATGCATGCACCAAGTCTGCCCATGCCAAGCACGAAAGGGAACGTCGACATGTTTGGCTCTCGTCGACGAGATCTCAGAGAGTAAACACGCATGCGTGCATGGGAGGGTAACAGCATTGTGTTGTGCCCTCCCATGCATGCACCAAGTCTGCCCTTGCCAAGCACGAAAGGGAACGTCGACATGTTTGGCTCTCGTCAACGAGATCTCAGAGAGTAAACACGCATGCGTGCATGGGAGGGTAACAGCATTGTGTTGTGCCCTCCCATGCATGCACCAAGTCTGCCCTTGCCAAGCACGAAAGGGAACGTCGACATGTTTGGCTCTCGTCGACGAGATCTCAGAGAGTAAACACGCATGCGTGCATGGGAGGGTAACAGCATTGTGTTGTGCCCTCCCATGCATGCACCAAGTCTGCCCTTGCCAAGCACGAAAGGGAACGTCGACATGTTTGGCTCTCGTCGACGAGATCTCAGAGAGTAAACACGCATGCGTGCATGGGAGGGTAACAGCATTGTGTTGTGCCCTCCCATGCATGCACCAAGTCTGCCCTTGCCAAGCACGAAAGGGAACGTCGACATGTTTGGCTCTCGTCGACGAGATCTCAGAGAGTAAACACGCATGCGTGCATGGGAGGGTAACAGCATTGTGTTGTGCCCTCCCATGCATGCACCAAGTCTGCCCTTGCCAAGCACGAGAGGGAACGTCGACATGTTTGGCTCTCGTCAACGAGATCTCAGAGAGTAAACACGCATGCGTGCATGGGAGGGTAACAGCATTGTGTTGTGCCCTCCCATGCATGCACCAAGTCTGCCCTTGCCAAGCACGAAAGGGAACGTCGACATGTTTGGCTCTCGTCGACGAGATCTCAGAGAGTAAACACGCATGCGTGCATGGGAGGGTAACAGCATTGTGTTGTGCCCTCCCATGCATGCACCAAGTCTGCCCTTGCCAAGCACGAAAGGGAACGTCGACATGTTTGGCTCTCGTCGACGAGATCTCAGAGAGTAAACACGCATGCGTGCATGGGAGGGTAACAGCATTGTGTTGTGCCCTCCCATGCATGCACCAAGTCTGCCCTTGCCAAGCACGAAAGGGAACGTCGACATGTTTGGCTCTCGTCAACGAGATCTCAGAGAGTAAAACGTGCATGCACGGGAGGGTAACAGCATTCACCCAATGGAGGGTAACAGCACGGGTGCTTCATTGTGTTGTGCCCTCCCATGCATGCACCCTACGGCTGCCCACCCTACAGGTTCCACTCCCTGGCATGCACGGGAGGCGACGACGACATGTTCAGTTCAGACTTTTCAGACGAGGAGTTGGATTGGAGAAGCGGGTGGGGCACGTGGGTACCACATCTGCCCTCTCTCCTGCCCTCTTATCTATATTTTCTCGCAGGTTCCACTCTCTCGCGTGCACGGGAGGGGATGATGACATGCTCAGCTCTGACTTTTCAGACGAGGAGTTGGGTTGGAGGAGCAGGTGGGGCACGTGGGTACCACATCTGCCCTCTCTCCTGCCCTCTTATCTACCTTTTCTCGCAGGTTCCACTCTCTTGCGAGCACGGGAGGGGACGGTGACATGTTCAGCTCGGACTCTCAAGTTGACATGTACCTGTCCTCCCATCTGCGCTCTCATCTACCCTCTCTCTCAGGTTCCACTCTCTCGCGTGCACGGGAGTGGACGATGACATGTTCAGCTCTGATTTCTCAACACCCCTCCGTTGGGGGAACGCGTGTGGAAAGGTCCATTCATACATGCCCTCTCACCCACCATGCACATACCCCGTCTGCCCCCCTCAGGTTCCAGTCCCTCGCGTGCACGGGAGGGGACGACGACATGTTCAGTTCTGACTTTTCAGACGAGGAGTTGGATTGGAGGAGCGGGTGGGGCACGTGGGTACCACATCTGCCCTCTCTCCTGCCCTCTTATCTACCTTTTCTCGCAGGTTCCACTCTCTCGCGTGCACGGGAGGGGATGACGACATGTTCAGCTCAGACTTATCAGATGAGGAGTTGAAAGATAGACTGGGGCACATGGGGGCATGGCCGTGCCTGGTGAGGGGGTTAGCGGATGTGCATGGGATTGTGTGTGGTTTCTTGAGTTCCAGGCATGAATAAGGAGGGGATGACGACTTGTGCAGCTCAGACTTAAATGAGGAGTTGAAGGAGCGACTGGGGCACATGGGGCATGGCCGTGCCTGGTGAGCGGCTTGAATGTGGTGGTGTGTGTGCATGGTGAGAGGGTTAGCTTGTGGTGACTTGTAAGCAGTTGGAGGAGCGGCTGGGGCACATGGGCGCATGGCCGTGCCTGGTGAGACGAGATAGTGGTGTGTGAGCATGGTGAGATGGATAGCTTGGAGTGGGTTGAAGCAGCGGCTGGGGCACATGCGCGCATGGACGTGCCTGGTGAGACAGTGTGGGGGTTGTGCGTGTTTCGCTCTTGGGTAAGCTTGTGTGACACGGGTGGGATCGTGAGGAATTGAAGGAGCGGCTGGGGCACATGAGGGCATGGTGAGGCAACATGGTGTGAGACTGTGGTGGTGGCAGTGCTGTTGGTGGGATGATGGCAGCGCCTGGTGGGTTTCTTTGGCAAGGTGCAATCAGGGCCATTCATGTACTTCATATTATGCCAGATCTGTTAGTATGACACCAAAATCTTGTCCACCACTTTCCCATCCGTGCATGCACCATGTGATTATCCACCCAGGTGATTCTATCAGGAAAGGATCAATACGTGCCGAAAAGCATAGACAAGGAAAGGCTATTACAGAGGTAAGATTCCTATTTTCTCTCTTTCCTTCTCTCGCCTTGGAAGTTTGTCCCCTGTTCCCAGAGGTAAACATTGTGAAACAGGGTAAAGCTATTGCAGAGGTAACGTTCCTACTCTCTTTCTTTCCTTCTCTCGCGTGGGCAAGTTTGTCCCCTGTTCCCAGAGGTAAATACTGTTAAACAGGGTAAAGCTATTGCAGAGGTAAGGTTCCTACTCTCTTTCTTTCCTTCTCTCGCCTTAGAAGTTTGTCCCCTGTTCCTTGAGGAAAATACTGTGAAACAGGGTAAAGCTATTGCAGAGGTAACGTTCCTACTCTCTTTCTTTCCTTCTCTCGCATGGGCAAGTTTGTCCCCTGTTCCCAGAGGAAAATACTGTTAAACAGGGTAAAGCTATTGCAGAGGTAAGGTTCCTAGTTTCTTTTTTTCCTTCTCTCGCCTGGGCAGCGGTCATCCCCTGTTCCATCGTATCGCATCCCTCTTGCTGCGTTTTCCTCTCCACCCTTACATCGTATCACATCCCTCTCTCTGTTTATTCCTTTACTCTTACTCTCTTCCGTCTCCTCACTCTTACTCTTCCATTTCCTCGTTCCCCTTTCCTCTCGTCTCTCTCCTCTCGTCCCTCCCTCCCCTCTTTTTTGTTTCTCCCTTTATGTGTGAAAACACACCTTTTACACACAATCATTTATTCCACCCTTCCTTCAGGCTCTGTGCTGCAATGGGTGGTGCCACGCCTGCTCTGATATCCCTAGCCCACCAGCCCACCACTCCCTGAGTAACGCAGTGGACTATAGCCCAACCCTCTCATGCCTCTGTTCATCCCACCCTTCCTTCAGGCTCTGTGCGGCTATGGGCGGTGGCACCCCTGCTCTGATTGCTGGAGCCGACCACTCCCTGAGTAGCACTTTGGGCAATACCCCAGAAAATTCTATGCCATTCTTGATCCCATCCCACCACCACCCTTCCTTCAGGCTCTGTGCGGTTATGGGCGGTGCCACCCCTGCTCTGATTGCTGGAGCCGACCACTCCCTGAGTAACACAGTGAAACGATGCGGTTACCACAACAACACCACCTTCTCGTGCCATTGCTTGTCCCACCACCACCCTTCCTTCAGGCTCTGTTCTGCTATGGGTGGTGCCACCCCTGCTCTGATTTCTGGAGCCGACCACTCCCTCAGTAACACAGTGGATGAAGCGGTTACCACAATAACGGATTTCATTAAGAAGCTTAAGTTCAGCCCCAGAAGCCTGAGTGTACCAAGTGGATTGCTACTGTAATTGCAACAAGCCCCTGGCAGCCTGCTGGTTCCAACAGCAAGCGCCCAAAGCCCAGAAAGACACCAAGATTGATCCATACCGTAATCACCCGGACAAAACACCCCCCCGTAATAGTACACCCCCGGGTAGCTTGTGCGGGGGGGGTGCTATAGCCGACCTCGTTTGTACTATACCCCCCCTTTTGGGGTGATTCTCTATAACACCCCCCTTTTCTTACGAAACCCTATTATAGCTGTTATCGAGTCAGATTTTTTACGGGAGGATATGACGAAAATCGCTTCCTGAATGAAATTTCGCGTGCACTTTCACTTCGAATCTACCGAGATTCCCTCCCTTCCACACAGGGCTGACTATTGAAATAAAACCACTCTGATTGTTTTAGCCCCCCAAACATAATTAGTCTGAGGCCCATTTCCCAAAACATGAGCACTCTGATTTCTCAGGAACCAGAGAAAAATAACTCTGAAAATTTTAAAATTCAGAGACGACCATTACACTGAGACAGGTTTTTCTACTAACGGGTCTTTTGCAAAAGTTCCGAGGGATGGGTTTCCCTCGAAGCAACAGGAATGGGTTAGGGGAGTTCGTACTCTGTAGTAAGAAAACTCATTATCCGGTAAGCAAGTACTCTGAAATTTTCAGTATTGAAAAAAACATTAGTCTGAAGCACTCATTTTTCAAAATCAGCCAACTCTGGAAAATCAGGAACGACAGGAAAATAGTCTGAAATTTCAGACAATCAGACTAAAATAGTCTGATATCGTCAGCCCTACTTCCACAATCTCGCTGTCGCCACGCTGGCGAATCTTCCGCTGCACGTGGCCCGAGAGGTGAAACTGTCAAATGTTGTAGCCTATAGTGAGGTTTGTCTTAGGGGGTACAAAACTTAGGGTTAGCTATATGTACCCCAACCAACATCAATGCATCATCCATTCCTCATTCTGACATGGTATCAGTTAGGTTAGGATCCTGTGGGATCCCGTTCCTCCGTTCTCCGTTCGTATCTCCCGAGCCTGATCCTACCTCTCGTTCGTACCGGTTCCGTTGTTACCGCTGCTGCTCCAGCGGCTGCTGCCCCTGCTGCCGTCGCCCCTGCCCCGTCCCGTCCCCGTCCCGTCCCGTCGCCCCTGCCCCGTCCCGTCCCCGTCCCGTCCCGTCGCCCTGCCCCGTCCCGTCCCGTCGCCCCGTCCCGTCCCGTCGCCCCGTCCCGTCCCGTCGCCCCTGCCCCGTCCCGTCCCCGTCCCGTCCCGTCGCCCCTGCCCCGTCCCGTCCCCGTCCCGTCCCGTCGCCCTGCCCCTGCCCCGTCCCGTCGCCCCGTCCCGTCGCCCTGCCCCGTCGCGTCGCCCTTCCCCGTCCCGTCGCCCTGCCCCGTCGCGTCGCCCTTCCCCGTCCCGTCGCCCTCCCCCGTCGCGTCGCCCTCCCCCGTCGCGTCGCCCTGCCCCGTCGCATCGTGCCCGCCCTTTCCCCCGTCCCGTCGACCCTACGCCCTGGCCCGTCGCTCTAGCCCGCTCTTCCGCTGCGACTAAGTCCCACCTGCACCCTAATTTGCCTCTTACCTCCTGCTGTTACTCGCCTGCTCGTTCGCGTTAGTTTTCGCTATGGCGACTCCGCGAGTTCTTCGTTTCGACGCTGACGGTAGACCTCTTGACTTTTCCGTCTGGCTTCTTCGTGCTCGCCGTCTGTTAGAGAGTCAAGTCCAGGGGGGCGAGACCCTCTGGTCGCACGCTACTGGTGACCTCCCCGAGCCCCCCGAGCCTGCCGCTTTAGGTCCTGCCCCTGACGATGCTGCTACGGCTCGCTTTGCCCGTCAGCGCGCTGACAGGACGGCTTGGACGTCACGTGACGCTGCGGCCTGCATCGCACTCAGCAGCCTCCTCCCTGAGTCAGAGGAGGTCCACTTCACTCAGGTTCGCACCGCTGCTGCGTACCTCACTGCGATTAAGGCCCGCTACTCTACTCCCGCTACTGTCTCTCTTGGCCGTCTTTTCCTCCCGTTCCTGTTTCCTGATCTCGCCTCGTTTGAGCGCTCTGCTGACTTGATCGCTCACCTCCGCTCGCTCGACGCTAGTTACCGCGCTGCTTGCACTGAGGCACAGCTTGCACTGCTTCCTCCCCCCATGGCGATTACTATCTATTTCATCGCCACTAGCCTCCCTGACCGCCTTGCCTCCGTACGTGACGCGCTCCTGCTGAAGCACCCTAGTGAGCTGACAATTGAGGTCCTTGAGTCTGCGCTCAAGGACGTCGAGAGCAACCTTCGCTCGGTAGCTGCCGCCTCTGGTGCTGTGCCCCCCCCACTCTTCCACGGGTGCACAGTCCCGCAGTTACCCACCTTCACTGCCTCTCTTGCCACTGCCGCTACTGACGCGACTGCAGCTGCTGCTACGACTGCGTCGCGGTCCCGCGGCAAGGGGGGCAAGAAAGGTGGTTCTGGTGGAGGTGGAGGCGGAGGTAGCGGAGGTAGTGGGGGTGCTGTTGCGACTGGCGGTGGTGGGAGTGCAGCGTCTGGAGAGACCTCTCGTGCAGCGGCTGGTGACTCCACTGCGCCTGCTGGTGGTGGCGACGCCCGAGCTCGTCAGTCGTCTCCTGTACTGCCGGCCCCGCTAGGTGGAGCAGCGGCGTGGTACCAGGCTCAGCGTCAGCAGCGGCTTCAGCAGCAGCAGCAGCCCCTCTCCTCCCAGCAGCCTCAGCAGCAGCAGCGTCAGCAGCTGGCTCCGGGGTCGGGGCTGCGTCAGCCCCAGCGTGGTGCTGCTTACCCTCCCTGCACCTATCAGGTTCTGACAGGTCCTCGTCGGGGCCACCCTTGTGGCCGCTTTCACCCCCCTGGTCAGTGCTTTGCTCAGCTCACTGACACGGTCCGGTTGGCCTACGGGGTTGGCGGTCCTGCCCTTGACTGGCTTCCTCTGGTTCAGCGCTACGGCTCCGCTCTGTGGGGCATGTCTGCTGAGCAGTTAGTTGATCTGATTGGTGCTCCTCATGCTATGTATGCTGTTGTTGACTCTAGTGTTTCTGACTCTGCTTACTCTGGTGTTGTTAGCTTAGGTGCTAGCCTTGCTCAGTTGCCTGTTGCTAGTGTAGGTTCTTGTGTAGACTCTAGTCCAGCGGCTACCTCAGAGGACGGTTCGCTGTCGTTCACGCTGGACTCTGGAGCCTCTCACTGCTTCTTTCGTGACAGCACGACACTTACGCCTCTTCCTGCGCCTGTTTCTGTGGCGCTGGCTGATCCCACTTCGGGACCAGTCACCGCGCGTCACACTACCACCTTGCCGTGTCCGGCTGCTCCTTCTGGGTCTCTCACTGGGTTTCACGTCCCCTCGTTCTCCCGGAACTTGGTGGGCGTGAGTCAGCACGTGGGTGTGTGGTTTGAGCCTTCTGGAGAGACTGCGGTGTGTGTTGACGGGGACTCTTACCAGCCCCTCGCCACTTTTGCTGCTGAGCCGGGCTCCGGTCTCTACACTCTTCACACTGGCCCGCGCGCTCAGCAGCGACTGCAGCAGCAGCAGCAGCCGCAGCAGCAGCAGCGGCAGCAGCAGCAGCCGCAGCCACAGCGGCCGCCGTCACAGCAGCCCCTCCTCCCAGTTCCTGTCCCTCCCCCTAGTCTCCTCCCTGCGTCTCACCAGGTGGTTCCGTCCTCTCAGGTTGTCGCGTCCAGTCCAGTCGCTGCGTCTTGCTCCTGTCGGTCGCTTGCCCACCCCACCGTTCTGTGGCACCACCGGCTGGGACACCCTTCTCTTCCACGTCTGCGTGCTATGTCTAGTCAGCGTCTGGTCTTAGGTCTCCCGCGTGTCTTGCCGTCGCTGCCGCCGTCCCTTGCACCACCGTGCGGTCCTTGCGTCGAGGGTAGGCTGCGTGCCACCCCTCACTCCTCCTCCCTTCGTCCGGCCACCGAGCCTTTTGAGACACTGCACTTGGACGTCTGGGGCCCCTCTCCTCGCCCTGGCCCTGAGCGTGAGCGTTTCTTTTTGGTGGTCGTTGACGACTACTCCCGCTATACCACAGTGTTCCCCCTGGCGAGGAAGTCTGAGGTGACTTCTACGCTGATCAGGTGGTTGCTTACCACCCAGGACACTCGTGGTCGTCGTGTCAGCTGTCTCCACTCCGACCGCGGGGGCGAGTTTCGCTCCGGCATTCTCGCTGGATTCTGTCGCGAACAGGGCATTCGTCAGTCCTGGACGCTTCCGGAGTCCCCACAGCAGAATGGGGTTGCTGAGCGTCGCATAGGCCTGGTCATGGAGATTGCCCGCACCTCCTTGACTCACGCCCGTGCCCCCCATTTCCTGTGGCCATACGCAGTCAGGTACGCCGCGCACCAGCTGAACCTCTGGCCACGCGTCTCTCGGCCGGAGGCTTCACCGACCAGTCTTTGGACAGGGTCCCCTGGTATCGCGTCGAGGTTTCGTGTCTGGGGGTGCTTGGCTCTTGTCCGCGACACCTCCGCGGACAAGCTCTCGCCTCGCGCCGTTTCTTGTGTCTTCCTTGGTTTCCCTGAGGACTCCTCTGACTTCACCTTTTACCACCCTCCCTCTCACCGGTTCTTTGACTCCCGTGACGTCCGTTTCGAGGAGTCCACCCCCTACTACGTCAGGTACCCCAGTCGAGGTCTCCCGGTTCCTCCTCCCCCCCTCTTCCTGACAGCCGCTCCCCCGCCTGCTCCCCCGGTACAGCCTCCCCCCCCTGGTCCAGCCCCGTCTGGTGTGTCTCAGGCTAGCCCTCCCCCTTCGGTAGCCCCCCCTGTACAGCCTCCCTCCCCACAGTCTTCCTCGCCGCCTCCTGCAGGTGCTCCTCTCAACCGGGAGGTTGGTCCTGCGACTGTCCCTGTACAGGTCTCTGGTTCTGGGGGTGCTGGAGTTGGAGCTGAGCCGCGGGTTGCAGAGGACTCTTGTCTTCCGGGGGCTGGTACTGGTCGTGCGGAGTCTGGGGGTGCTGGTGCGGAGTCTGGGGGTGCTGCGTCTGGGGGTGAGGGTGTTCCTTCGGTTTCTGGAGAGCCTGGGTCTGGAGCTGGTGTTGGTGCTGCCTCTGGGGGTGGTGTGCTTGGTGCTTCGGAGGTCGACTCTGGGGCTGCCGCTGCCCCGGACACTACTCCTTCCCCCCACCCCTACCCGACCAGGTTCCAGGCTCGTGTTCGCCGTGCTCGTGAGGAGCAGCTGGAGTTGGAGAGAGAGGAGAGAGAGTTGCAGCGGCTCGAGGAGCAGGAGCGACAGCAGCAGGGGCAGCAGCCGCTGGAGCAGCAGCAGCCGCAGCAGCCGCAGCAGCAGCAGCTGCCGTCTCCTCCTCCTGTCTCGGGTCTTCGGACCCTTCGTCTCCCCTCCCCTCTCCCTCCTCCCCCTCTCCTCCCGTCTCTGGTCCTTCGCTTCCTCCTCCTGACCCCTCTCCCGCTGTTTTCCCTCGTTCTCAGTCTTCGTTGTCCCCTCCTTCTTCTCAGACTTGGGCCTCTCGTCGCTCCCCTCGTGCTCGTCCCTCGTCTCCTGTTCCCTTCACTGACCTTCGTACTGCCTTACTTCGTTCTAGTCCACCTCGTCCGTCTCCGTCTGTGCTTCCGTCTCCTCCTGAGTCGGCTCTCACTGCGTCGCTCCCTACTCCTGTCACAGACTACTACTACGCTACCGCACGTACCGTCCTCTTCTCTCTCGTGTTCTCGCCTCGCTTGTTACTCACCCTCGTGCCTCTGTGTCCTCTGTGTCCGCTCTTACTGCCGCAGTCACTGACTTTGCCTCTACCCGCCGCCTTGACTTCGCCACCGCTCTTGTGGCTGCTCCTCCTTCCAGTCCTCTGGCCGTCGGGGGTGTGTCTGCCCTTGGCTGTGACGCCCTAGAGGACAGGCAGTTTGAGCTAGAGTTCCTGGCCGCCGCTTCCCCTCATCTCTGTGCCATGCTCCTCGCCCCTGAGGGTGACCCCGACGCCCTTGACATTCCGACTCCTCGCACTTACGCTGAGGCAGTGTCAGGGCCTTGGGCCTCTCA